CACCTTCTCCACACTCCCCTGCATAACATCCATCTTCTTCCCCAGATCCTTAATCAAATTATGTCGTCTGGACACACTCAACCCCTCAAATAGCGACCTCATCTCCCTCAAATCCACCACAATTCCATTTTGCTCTCTACTCAGCCCCATCTTTTTCTCGTCAGAAGCAACCGACCCAGCCGACAGCGCCGTAACCGCAAACCGCATCATCTCCCCAGTTAAATCGAACAACCCCAACAGATAATCCTCCTCCGTGACGAGTATCTCCGCGGGGAGTTTCGTGCACACTTCAGGGAGCGTGATGAGGGTCTGCGTAGTCAGGTAGTGGTGGAAGGAGAGCGCCTCGATGTATTCCTGGATCGCGCCGCTGAGCTGGCGCTGGTACCGCCATTTGTTTGGACCGGTGACGTCTGGGAGCGCGTTGGTGAAGAGGGACTGGATTTGGGTGAAGCGGGATTGGGTTTCTTTGGTGATGTTTTCCGGGAGAGGGGCGTTGAGTTTCCGGATTCTGGGATGGAGTTTATCCTGTTAGATTTTGTCTTTGCGGTAGGGTATGTGTTGGGGGGGCGGGGGGTGTTACCGTTGGAGGGAGAAGATACTGCAGATTTGTGTTAGCTTTGATTTTGTTTTACTCGATAAGGCTCGCCAAGTGCATAACCTAATGATAGATGGGAAACAGGAGGGGGGAACATACATCTTCTTGCTCAGCGCTGTAATATCCCTTGAGATCTTGATTAGTCGCTCGCGCCGATCGTGGTGCTCGTCTAGCTCGTTGCGGAAGGTCTCGAAGATGGAGAGGATTTGCGCTGATTGTTCGGCCATTGTCGTCGTCTGGTGCTCGTTGTTGTTGGGTTGGAGTGAGAGCTGTTTGCCGTCCCAGGTGCGTTTGGTTCCGGCCATTTATTTGAGTTGACTGGGTGGGGATGGTGCTAATGGGATGGAGGGGGAATTATTTTGCGGCAATGAAATTAATTCACTGATGGATGGGCGTCATCATTGGACTCGGGGCTAGGACGGATTGGGGTGATTATCTGATAAGATATGGCTGCTTGGAGGCCACCAGTACCGAGCATTCGGGCATTGGTGGAGGGTCGCCCCTTTTTTCTTTCCCCCCACATTACTATTGCTCTGCCAAGGGGATCTGACTGCTTTTGAATATTCTGTGCTTGGTATTACTTGATTGGCTGATGGTGTGATCTTATTTCACTATGCTGAGAAGGGTAGAGGGTACTAGTTTACCTGAGCTTATTCCCCAAAGTTCAAGAGATATATAGTAGTTTCTGAGCGTTGTGTTTTTTCTAATACTCAGTAGATTATTAGCACCACTTTAGGTGGAGCTGTTTGCAATTATTACGCATTTGTGGGTGCGTAATAAAACCCTTAGATCCAAGGTCTTTAATGAATTAATTCGAGGTATCTATACAATCATTTCTAGGCCATGACACCGTTAAATTTTTTCTAAATCCATAGCATATACTGAGCATAATGTCATGATTGGGTCATTGGATACTGTAACAAAGCCGTACACTCAATCATAGCCATATCAGACAATCACTGGCCAAGATACTTGTACTTTAGAGGAGCACCACCCGACTTCAGCCCGGTTATGGTGACCGTTTGCCCATCTCCCGGGACGATGTCCATGGCACTGTCGCTGACTTTGATGCCGTCTCTTTCCTCAAAGACGAGGCACTTGACAGGTCTCTTCGCGGTGATTAGCAGCTTCTGCTCGTTACCAGATTCTGAAACCTTGTTCACCTCCAGGCCCCGATCCGACAGGTCCAGGTACTTGAACGGTTGGGGCCAATCCACATCGCGAGCCGTAATCTCACCATCCACCCAGAGTCGAGCAGCGAGCACGTGAGGCTCTGGTTGCTCCTTATGGTCAATGACACCTTCCAGGATGTTTGTAGTACCGTTCGGCACTATTTTGACGTTATCACGCAGGATGGGTGCACGGACATCAAGCCCAGTATTGACCGAAAGGAATCTAAGCTCGATTGTGCCAACAGTTTCCTTCTGCAAGCTACTGGCAATCCAGAGTTCGTACTTGCTCGTCTTCGGCGGCTGTGCGTGGGTCACACTCCAATCATGATGCTCCCTCCGCACACCCACAGCAATGGGCTTCAGAACACGTGCCACAGCATAGAATGCCGGTTTGGGCCGCAGGAAATAATCTACGATGGCCCAGGAGATAGTGGGCCAGCAGTCATTTAGTTGCCAAAGCAGGGCACCGCCACAATGTCTTTCATCACCCCATTGACGACGCCATCCACGGTATCCGAACATCATTGTTTCGGCCTGGACAACCTGTGTGAGGTAAATGTACGTCTATATTTAGTTAGCCACATGGATCCTGATGGTCAGGCCAGGGAACATGCCTCTAAGTCTGTAGCTGTCCTCAGGTTCTCGACAAGATATGTAGCAATCCTTCGCTCGTGTCCATCGGCCTTGTTGTGGAAGTCGAGAACATGTGACTGGGGGTATTTGTCCGCCTCATTCTCCACGAAATACTCGATTGTCGACATATGGGGGAATGCCTCCATTCCAAACTCACTGTTGAAACGCCCTCCTAATGTATCGAAGATTTGATACTTCTCCTGAGTTCCATGCCATACTAACGAAGGTTAGCATGAACTTAATCTAGGATACCGTTTGACTTACCATTCCACTGATGCATATCGCCCACTGTAGGATCGGACGTGATCTTTCCATCACCCCAAGGGCTCCCCGGATGGTAAACCGTTTTAGGGGACAGATTTTCAACAACAGAGGGCAGGAGCTTCTCATATATGTAGCGCGCTGGGAAATCGGTCTTCAGCCAATTCTCGGGGTTCTTATCTTCGTAGTCGTAGACAAGACCAGCGCTTTCTTGCACTTGGTAGTCTTCATTGTTCCCAACATACACCACAATCGACGGGTGATGGCGCAGTCGGCGCACGTTATAGTTTGCCTCCTTCTCGACCGACTCTAGGAGCTCGGGCCATGTTGGATAGTTGCCACAGCCAAACATGAAGTCTTGCCATACCAAGACTCCTAGTTCGTCGCATGCTTGATAGAAGCTATCATCCTCATAGCAACCGCCGCCCCACACTCTATGCTCTGTTAGCAAATTGTTAACTATCATGGATCGTCCGAACATACCTGATCATCACCTGGCGGCCAGCAACCATCAGCTCAATCCATTTGCGATATCGCTCGGCAGTAATACTGGGCAAGAGATTATCGGCCGGAATCCAGCATGAGCCGCCACAGAAGACATCAACCCCATTGATTCGGAAGAAGAACGACTTCCCATGCTTGTCAGGCTGCTGAATAAGTTCTGCAGTTCGAATGCCAATCTTCTTCGACACGCTGTGAACCTCCTGGTCTTCTTTCTCCAAGGACACGGTAATCTCATACAGGGTAGGGTCACCATAGCCGTTGGGCCACCAAAGAGACGGTTGCTTCACGTCAAATGTCACTTTCGTAACACTGTCCTTCAGAGTAGCCACCTCGCGAGCGACCTCCTTGCCGTGGAGACTAAGCACGAAGCTGGCCTTGTAAGATTCAACTGATTCTGCAGCGTCTAGTTCAGCGAAAGCCGAAATCTGGGCTGTCTGGTGGTCCGCTGCGAGCTCCACCTCCGTCCAAAGATCTGAGATTCTGGCGGAGTATACCTCAAGCCGCACCTCCCGCCAGATACCTGCAGTTGACAAGAGTGGACCCCAGTCCCAGCCCCAATGATATTGGGCTTTTCTGACGGCCATTCTGGCTGGATCGCCGTTGAAAGAAGCCCAGTTATGTTTGGTATCTTTCTCCCGAAGCTCTCGCGCCCTGCGCATGGCACAGTCGAAATCGATTTCCAGCACATGGTCTCCCTCCGTCTCAAGCGCCTTAGTCACATCTACACGGTGAGCAAGGAACATGTTGTCACTCTCCAGGATGACGTTGCCATCAAGCTTTACTGTGGCAAAGGTATCCAAACCGTCAAATGCCAAGACAATCGACGAGCCAGCGGCGACGGTGGGCTTCTGGAAGACGGTTCGATAGGTCCATGACTTTTCATTCACCCATCGGGCATCTAGTTCATTGAAACCAATGTATGGATTCTTCAGCCTAAAGGAAACGGCAATCGGTTAGCATCTGGATTGCATTGGGCATGTGAAAAGAAACGCATACTTCTGATTGGCTTGCAGATCCTGGTGAGCCACGGAAGGAACGACAGGTACCGGCATCCACGCTTCAGGCGATTGCTCATCGCTATCCTTGAAGCTCCATCCCGTAGATAGAGGGTACTGAGAGAATGCGGCCATGACGTTATCTGAGGGGGTTGTAGAAGTGTCAATGGATGCTTGGACACTTCAGCAGAGGACAGAGAAAACTTGTGTTCATCGAACCCCAGAAAGTGGAAATTCCCCGGATTTTAGATGCCGGCTCCCCATGTTGAAAGGATCGTTGCCAGGTGCAGATTCTCATGAGTGTATGCTACATGCGACAAGGTATGCGGAGTAACCCTCCGCACCCCACGTGCTGGGATTTCCTCTTTGGGCCATTCTACACGGAGGAGAGTCCTTGCCCAATTTGGTTAAGCGCCATCAGGGACCATGTTCAACCACTGACAGTCACGATTTGTCCTCGTTCAACCTCTATCCATGGCACACCGGTAAGTCTACTGCTGGTCGTCCTTACCTATTGGCTCTCACTTCGTGAAGTTTGGTTGTGGCCGTGAAAGACTGTTGTGAAACGGCCTTATGGGGCGTCCTTACTCGATGGGGAACGTTAACCATGCCCTAACCACGGCATCTTCCCGAAACTGTTAAACCTCCGATGTTTCTCCCACGCTTTTCCGTTCTCGACACGGACGGACCTCCGTCAAGCTCTCTGGATCCTCTCGTCGGTCAATTGCCAGCGACAGTTGGTCAAGAACGCTCCATACAAATGGTCGAGGATGGCCATCAGTCAGAGGTATATCTTTTCTTTGGACCATACATCGTTCATAATTCTCTGGAATTGAGTTTCTCTTACGGTTTCGCTTCCATCCTGAATCCAATTTCTTTCCACAACCAAATCCGACGCAAGTATAAACCATATCGACAATGTGTGGGTGCACACTTCCTCGGTCCGTGGCCACACCGCAGACCAAATACATTCCTCCCAGTTCGTCTGACGAACCGTTGAGCCACTCTTTCCATGAGACATTTGACGCGTCGTTTGGCGCTAAGTTCCCGGTCTGACTGTCTGAAACTCTGAGTCTTCGGACATCAGCCTTCGAATCAGCCCCTCATCGTACCATTGATCAAATGCTCTGAAGGCAGTCTCACACTCCTTATGGCACTAAATTTAATTGAAGGGACATGCCCTACTCAACCTCCAGGGCACGGAGAGGGAAAAAAAAATGACGCATTCCTTGGCGCCAATCTTCTGTCGGATCAACGCTTACGGAGTACTTGTGTTTGAATCCGCTAGCTACTGGTGGGCGTCGTCAGCGTCGTTGATTGGAAGAACCCAGTCGGATGAACGGGGCGATATCCCTTAATTCTGTGTACAGTCGTCAGTGGCTCGGATCATCCCGAATTACTGATGTTCACCATCGCCTATCCGGCCCCCTCGTGCCCGTGCTAAGAGGCCGCCTCCTGTTGATCGCAAAATAGACTTGAACGGCTCTGGAAATTTCGGCGAAATTCTGGGGTCTCAATCTCCACTGGTGGAATTCGGCTGCGCAGGGTATTCCCTGACGCTAGCATGGCTCTCTTGCATCAACAGGTGACCTGCAATTTCAATAAACTTTAGCAGTCCAGGACTCCAGGTTCACTAATACGCGCGGGGTCACGGATATCACAGGGAAACGATTCGGCAGGCATTTTGCCTGCGTAGGAAATAACGGATCCTCGGAGGACTGTGGTTTAGCCTACGGGCTAAAGGGTCCGTCGATCCCTAGTTGACCATAGCGCGTTGCGGAACTGCCGTCTGCCTGGCGATACAAGCACTGGGTCGGTCATCTATATCCGAGACGAGGCAGTCAGTAATTAATTTTAAAGTTGGACCCCTGCCGATGGCTCCACTGGTGTACAAACCTGGATACAGCCGAAGGCTCAGAAACCGGCCTAGCCTGCTGCCTTACGAATAGAAATGCAGGGACAAGCCACTGTTCTCTCGCTAAGGTGTGAATGTGATTCTGCAGCGCTTTCTGTGCAGAAAAGTGGGCAAGGTCGCTATTCGTCTGCGTGGATTTTCTGTTCAGATTGGCCGTGACCACACTGTGTTTAAGCGGTTGGGCACAATTCTACTGTTCCTTCTGCTGCAGCAGGGGTGTTTCCCGGTATTCCTCGTGGGGAGTCTTCAAGTTCACGAGCGGGATATTTTCCTGATCCACTGGCAGGCCGTAATTCCCCGATTTCCTGCATCATGCTGTCCTGCGTCTATGGAGGTCTCTCGGGAGATGCAGATGCACGCCACCCGGCTCATTAACAGTAAAAGTGGTGCCAGCACCTCTAAATATGTAGAACAATCTAAAGTAGAAATGGAAACCGACGGTATTTCCATGACAGGAGCCGGGGCTTGACGGGATGGAGTGGGTTTCCTGTCTATCTGGTAGGAGGGTAGAGACCAGCACATGGTCCTAACCCCTCCACTCCATGAATGGCGCGCTTTTCTAGGTTCCCACGACGCCGTGTAGAAGCGTAGACTCCTCACCTAGCGTCACGAGGGGCAATAGACAGACACGGTGTCATTTGGCCAACAAGGTCAGCGGCTAAGCGATGGGTAAACTGCGTCGGATATCAGAGGATACGCTGGGACCCAGCACTCGGTCAACGAATGGTAGAAGAAAGGACAGAATTTAATTCCTCTGCGTGCATGCATTAATCAAGAAATGCGGGGAAACCGCGGACAATCTCAGGACGATCTGCCAACGAGGGTTTGTTCAGCATGGTTGGCGATAGGGTTAGACGGTTCCATCGGCCTCCACTCTTAACTTTCTCTACTCATCCTCGCGCATCACCCGTTTTTGTTCGACTCTCAAACACTCTTAATATTCTTCTTTGGCCCCATCCGGTCCCAGACACCTTTCCCATAACCCTTGATCGTAATCGACAACGCGGTCTTATCTTTTTAATAAATTTTTACCCAGTTTTTCTTATCTCTTTGGAGGCCTCTATTCTTAGTGCACATCCAACAGTGACAGTTGCCGTGTCGTCCAAAGGCATTCCTTCTGAACCCCCCTAATTGCCACCCCTTTGATCACCAGCCCACAATCTGCAGGGTCTCATTTCTAGTACGCTGCAAAGTTGGACGGTGGCGGCCGTTTCCCTGGCGTTATTATATTATTAGACTAGTCAACCTCCGCTGTCTCCAGAAAAAATCCCTGGATTCGGCTGCATACAAACTGCTGGACGTCTGCTACCTCCAATGGCTGTTTCTGATCGATTTGGATCTAAATGCATCAACTGAGTGGGTGTCTTCTGTTTACCATTGTCTGAGATTGCCTAGAACCGATTCTTGGAGATGTTCCACACCTTTGAAGGATTCGAAAACCCGAACAACTCGGCCCCAGCCCGGGGTCGTGGTGAGCGCCAGCCCTCTGTCGGCCGGCGTGTCACTACCCTCCGTGCCTGTACATCCTGCAGGCATCGCAAGATCAAATGTGACGGCGAAAAGCCGTGCGAAGCATGTCGGTGGTATAAGAAAGCCGACCAGTGTCATTATGCAGATCCCCGGCCATCCCGGAGGTGGGTTACTCTCTTTCTTTTTTGATTTTTAATCAGCGATAAATGCCCCTTCCTCCCCACAATTAAATCCCCACCGAGTCTGTGGAAGATCTATACATGGCTTACATGGGATTGAAAATGCAGACACGTAGAAAAACTGTCCACTACCCTAGATGAGTATCGGGGCGTGCTCGAGAAACTCTTCCCCAATATCCCACCCGAAGATCTAGTTAGCTTGTCTCGCGAAAGGCTCTTAGAGCTGACAGGCAAGTCATCCCAGCTGCAGACGCAGCCGCCACACCCAGCATCGCCAGCTACCTCGGCATCGGTCGAAGCCCATGTCTCTCCCATCTCCAACGAGGATGGTAATCTGGAATCGTTGCAGACGATGCCTGAAGAATCGAGTGATCTTCAGAACTCGGAGATATCCAATAATTACTCGGACGACGTCAATGCCTTGTCACTCTCATCCAGACAGCCTTCCTCTTATCTAGGGGTATCATCTATCAATGCTGTTCTCAAAGTGATTCTCTGCCTTGACCCTAGCGCCCTCTCCTACTTCTCTCATTCTTCGACCAACACAGACTCCAGGGACTCAACCCTGGGATACTCTCCAGCAGAGACACAATCATGGCCGGTCCAAGAGTCTCAGCAACCAATAACGCCCCCTCAACGCCATCGACCAGTGACAGAGATGCAGTTGCTCGACGCCTATTTTACTTATATTCAGCCATTCGTGCCCATGTTAGATGAGCAGATTTTCCGCGAAATCTACCACTCGGGGTGTAGAAAGGATGACCGTTGGCTGGCACTGCTAAACATTGTGCTTGCCTTGGGTAGCATCGCAGCGTGTCCATCCGATGACATGTCCCACACAATTTACGCCCAGCGTTGTAAGAGCTACTTGAATCTAGAATCGCTTGGTTCCTCACATATAGAGACCATACAGGCCCTCGGTCTTTTGGGAGGGCAATATCTTCATTACGTCAGTCAGCCCAATCTGGCATATTCGCTCATGGGAGCTGCGTTGCGCATGGCTGCAGCTTTGGGCCTACACAAAGAGTTTTCGGATAATCAGGAAGGGTCTTGTAAACAAAACATATATTCGACCGACCTGAAAAGGCGAGTGTGGTGGTCCTTGTTTTGCTTGGACACTTGGGGCTGTATGACTCTGGGACGACCGAGCATGGGACGGTTTGGACCAACGATTACCGTCAAACTGCCGCAGTACCGAGAAAGGGTATGTATGCGTCCGAACTCTGTGATTCTGTCATTCTAACCCTTCCAGGGAAATGTTCTCGACATTATACCGCTTCTAGAAAACGTTCGGTTCTGCAAAATTGCGACACAGATCCAAGAAATCCTTGCTGCCGCTCCGTTGACGAGGTACCACGAAATGTCGCACTTTGATAATCAACTACTAGAGTGGTATGAGAACCTTCCGTATATCCTCAAAGACCACGAACCATGCTCCGAATCGATTATCATCACGAGGACAGTCATGAAATGGCGGTACTACAACCAACGTATGCTTATATACCGTCCAACCCTACTCAGCTACGCCATGCGACGGGTTCCATATATTGCCCTCCGGTCCGAAGAGCGGACGGCGATTGAAAGGTGTCGACAGATCGCGGAGGCTACAATTCAAGACATCTCTTCCACAGCTCAGTCACATCAAATGTCGGGCTGGAGTGCTGTCTGGCTCATATTCCAAGCAGTCATGGTTCCACTACTGGGATTATTTCTCAATGACAACACAACGAGTGACCCTAGAGCCACTGTTTCGAGTTGTCAGTCTCAGGTTGAGATGGCTATGCTTGTACTGGCCCGACTGGAACAATGGAGCCCGACTGCAAAACGGACGTTGGATGCCGTGTCGCAGATACTGGAGGCCAGTAAAAGAGGGACCAACATGGCTAATGATACTGGCATCGTCAACAGCATGTATGCTTTCTCGCGCGAAGGGGCAATGCCTCGAACCACTTCGGGGATTCTTCCGCCCCAGAACATTTTCCTCCAGAATGAAGCAGGTTTCGATCCGTTTGCGCCTCCAGTCATCGATGATTCAACGGCCCAGTATCTGTGGGACTTCCTGAGCTGGAGTGATAGCAGCCTATGGCCTGGAATCACGGACACTAACAGCTTCAACGACGAATCGTTGTTCGCCCAACCAGACAAAACCATGAAATATACCAACAATGGCGCAGCTTTTATGGGGGGCTCGATGGGCGACGGTGCCTTCTACGCAAATCCACCATTACCCTACTACTAAAGGGTCACATATTTCTAAAACAAGTAGCCCTTCTGGCTAAGGGCACTGTTTCTTTCTTCTTATGTCGTTCTTCTTTTTTTCTTTTTGGCCTTTTTTCCTTTTTCCCTTTCCTTTCTCTGGACATGCATCAAAGCGAGTTATCTATTAGCAAACAATACGGAATGGATGAGTGTATATAACCGGGATATTTAAAAGAGCATATAGTGTATATGAATGATCATCGGTTTTTGGATGCCTATTTTTCGAGTACAGAATGGAATGCATAAAAGTTGTTACTTGAATTTGTGCAAGGATCGCCAGTATGCTGACTCAGCTAAAACGCCAAACGCCAAAAACCACTCATTATGCTTCCGAGCCACATCTGCAATCCCCATTGGAACCCAGCTGCAACATAAAGTAAATTCCCACAGGTCTAACCGGTTATAGATTATCATATCACCATCTTATAGCTCTGTTGCGCAATCAATCGATGTGTGCATTAGATTTAAGTTTCGGAAAACCTGCAGCTTACTGACGGACCCTGATGAACTCTAGTCAATAAGAGAGTTGTCAGTCATGGCTTCTTTATTTGAGAGACCATCACTAGTGTTTGGCGCCGCGGTTGTCTTGCGCGCTTTTCTTCTTGTTTATGGCGCCTGGCAGGATGCCCACTCAGCCGTCAAATACACCGACATCGACTACATGGTCTTCACCGACGCAGCCCGGTACGTTTCTAAGGGCGCTTCGCCGTACGCTCGAGATACGTATCGGTACACGCCTCTGCTCGCGTGGTTGCTTCTACCAACCTCCTGGGATGGTTTCTTCTCATTTGGCAAAGTCCTTTTCGCACTCTCCGACGCGGTAGCCGGATGGCTTATTGCGAAAGCGCTCACGTCCTTTTACGGCATGAGCCCACCACGCGCTCTCAAGTATGCTAGCGTTTGGTTACTGAACCCTATGGTCGCCAATATTAGTACGCGAGGAAGCTCTGAGGGTCTCCTATGTGTGCTGGTCATTGCCTTGCTCTGGGCCGTCTTGAACAGAAGAATCACTCTTGCCGGAGTACTTCTCGGGCTCAGCGTGCATTTCAAGATTTACCCCTTTATCTACGGTCCATCTATCATCTGGTGGCTTGACGAAGAGCGCGAAGGGCAGAAACTATCTTCACAAAAGCAAAAGGCGGAGCAGGAAGATCGAAATCTCTTTACCCACATCGTCAACTTCATCACACCCTCTCGTCTTCTTCTCACTACCACCGCACTGGCCACCTTCTCTGGTCTCAACATCTCCATGTATATCCTCTACGACTTTCCTTTCGCCCAGCATACCTATCTGCACCATTTGACTCGTATCGACCATCGCCACAACTTTTCACCCTACAGCAGCCTCCTTTATCTCTCTTCTGCTGGAGACGTCCAGGGGAGCTTTGAGTCACTAGCCTTCATTCCCCAGCTGCTTCTCTCTGTTGTCGTTATCCCGATCGTTTTGGCCAAAAGAAGCCTACCAGGTGCGATGCTCGCCCAGACCTTCGCATTCGTTACGTTCAACAAAGTGTGCACGAGCCAGGTATGCGTCCCTTATTCGTTCCTAAGCTTCTCGTTCAGGCCCAAGATGTGAAGACTGACGCGTGCAAAAGTATTTCCTCTGGTATCTCATCTTCCTTCCGTTCTACCTACCTTCATCATCTTTGATGAAGAATCCAAGGCTGGGCATTGCAGTCGCAGCTCTATGGGTTATCGCTCAGGTATGCATACACCCTTGTTTCCTCTTCTTTTCGTTCAAAGTCAATAAGAGCAACACACCACGATTGCAGCTGCGGTGCTAATGAGAACACCAGGCCCTCTGGCTCCAACAAGGCTACTATCTCGAGTTTCTCGGGTTGTCTAGTTTCGTGCCAGGATTGTATCTCGCTAGTTTGGGTCTCTTTGCAGTGAACATTTGGATTTTGGGTATAATTATTAATGATGTTGCGTTGACGGGATGTTAGGAACTAAGGAAGAGGAATGCGATAACCAGGGTGAATTCTAGGATCTGATCGCCATCTATACCTGCTCTTCTAGGCTCTAGGCCTGACTTCTAATTAGTTCGGCTATTCTCTAGTCTTGGCATGAACATGTAGAGTTAATGTAATTAGTACCTTTGAAAAGTTGCCTTGCCTGATATTGCTTCGTCAGAGAGGTGGTTCGTTTCGTGGCTAGAACCGACCTCAGTCCGCCCAGTACGTGACCCACCGGTCTTAGTCATCGGCGAACATCACGCCGAACAACCCAAGTGCTGCTAGGCAGAGCATATCTTTTCATGCAGTTCAATATAGGACTCCGCCCCACAAATATAGGTTTATCTCAAAATAGTTCAGTGCAACCAGGGGACTCTCATTGATTGGATCTAGTCAACTGAGGCTGAAATGCGTACATACTTCGCGCTTACTATCTCAAAATTGGGCATATTCCCAAACTCTGGTGACGAATCCATGCAAGGATTCTGGAGAATACTCAACCGCGCTATCTCATCCACCCGCCATAACCTCCCCCAAGTCCAGTATCCATCATACATGCTAAAAAGATGTTGACTGATAATGCCCCGAGGTGTGAACACTCGTATTATAGATTGTCGCACGCTCATCAATCACATATTCCGCGCAGATAACAGAACCATTGAGCTTCATGATCTGGCCCACGGTAGTATTGGCCACGACGGAGTTCATCCACAAAGTGTGGTGGAGAGTGGTGGTGGAGCCCGGGTCACCATTATAGTCGAGAATATCAGCGCCAGGCTGGGAGAGATCGGCTGCATCGATGAACCACTGGGGAGCTGTATTATTTCCTCCCATGTCAAAGAGCCGGCGTGGGTAATCGGCCAATTGCCACTCCCACCAGAGCTTGTCCAGGTATGCGTGGTGCATGAAGAATAAGGGTTCGTTGATGCTGTCAATCGGATGCGACATTAACCCGCCAACTGCACGGTGGCCGCCGGCGTGTGTGTACCCGTTATAGCATTGCCTGGATCACACGGTGAGTAGATGTACATACTTGGAAAATGAAGGCCCAGGAAGAGGGGGGGGATAGCCTACCAGGCATCTGTGTAGTTCGCGTAGCCGAAGCATGTCTCAACGTTCGATGCTGCTTCCATCTCCAAACTGCTCTGGCTCAGGCCTCGGGACAGGCAGAAGCTATCTCCGCGTTGGTGATGGCTGCTCATGTGGAGCACTATGTCCTTGAATGGTCCGTCGCTTACGCAGCCCTTGCCTCCTGTACCGTTCCCGCCGAACCCTGTGTCTGGATCGAAGATAGGAGAGTCGGCTACATTCCCGTTGGTAAGATCGGTAAGCTCGTCCCAGTACGGGTGTGCACCAGTGTAGTTGCACAGGTTCTGAAGCGCCAGCTCATGCGCTCTAACATAATAGCGATGCCAGGGAAGGAATTGGCCGACATTGTCTGTGACACATGCGGGGGTTAGCTATGTCTGGCTTGAGAGGGCAGGAAAGTATTCACGGATATTGTTTCCTTGGGTGATGTGGATATTGGCAAATTCATCCCAGACATTGGTGGCATTTTCTACCAGGCCAGTGACCGGTGGGTGCTGCATGAGACACAGCTCCGCTTCGATAAACTCATGCTTTTCAGTGTCCGTAAGGGCGTTCCACTGCAATATCATAATAAGCCCTTGTCTCTAATTCGAACCAGTTCAGATATAGACGTACCGACTTCCGGTAGTTGATCTTGTCACAGGTGTTTTGGATGGCATGATCCTGAGTCGAGTTGACCGCTTGGCTGGTGGTAAGGCTTGAGACCAGTGATACCTGGAGCAGTAACGCGGCGCAAAAGCGCTTAAAGGTAGGGCTAGCTAATGAAGACATTGTAGGCAAAGCTTTCCTTGGATATTCCAACCTGAGATACAGAATATCCAAGAGAGAGGGAAGGGGGAGAGGCCTTTAAATATACCCTGCTTCACCAAAATGCATCCTGTATACAAGAAAAGCCGGCGGGTCGACTACCAGAACACGTAACCTAGTGGGGCAAGAACAATTGTAGCAAGGAGTATTGTGAGGCATCAAGTCCACTGCCACGGGGTGCTGCTGCAGTGAGTGGCTCCGCCCAGCCACTAGTTGGGTATACTAGATCAATTGCTTCTTGCTCCACTGCTGCATTTGCGCCAAGCGGCAGGGGTAGTACATATCAGAGTCAACGTGGTGCCGTTTCTCACACACCCCAACGGCTGTTCGGCATTATTCAGCGGTGTTTGGAGTCCGATGCTGTCTACATTGATCTGTGCTCTTCATCCGAGGATCCCTAGACGTTGGACACAGGTCTGAAGGACCAGTGGCTGGGTTCAGGGGAATATTTGGAGAAGATTCAAGCAAGCCTGCACATCTCGAGTCAAGAGGCCAGTGCTCACAGCATAGGCGTACATTGTGGCATACCACAGCTGGGACGAGGGTCTATTCCGTACCCAAAGCGGCATTCTAATGCTAATTTAGCCTTCTGTTACTACTGCTGAGTGGCAACCTTGTATGACAAGTGTGTGAATGCGACCAACTGCACTGGTTCCACGATACCTAGCTCTGCTATATTGAGGTGGATAACTTCAGGAGTGAGACTATTACGTTTTGGATGGAGGTTTTCACTATCGATAAGCATCCGGGACAAAGGGCACAGACCGGTGGATCAGGGGAGAGCGTATTGTGGGCCTCGTGGGAGTTGAACAGTTATCTAATGGGTCTGAGTGGCTAATGGGGCATACTGTGGCCAGGGCTGCTTGTTACGAAGACACAATGTCAGATGTGTGGCCGATGATTTCGGTATCCTGGAGCATTTACTACACACATCTAGCTACCCGGAGTTCGTGATCATGCAGGGCAGCATTGCAATCTCAAGGAAATATCGTTGTTGAAGACATATAATGCACTTCAGAAATTTTATACACCATCCATACCAAACTGAATTCCGAATAGACGTGGTTATTCTAGTCACAACATCAAGTTTATTCTGACGTTGTAGTGGGTTGAAATGATAGACATCTGAGCCGCTGCACCAGTGTTTCCCGACACGTCACCCTGGCGCTACTTAAACAGGCTTTCCTCTTGGTTCTCCTAGCTCCTGAGGATTGAAGTAAGGTCGAGGGACGATATACTAAGAAGGCTATGGCCATACCAGGTCTTCAGTGCGGTAGCCTGATGGAACGATTCCGAATAGTTGCGGTGATTATAGCTGACGCAAAATGCCAGGGACTTAGATGCGGGAGCACCCAATGCACGGCACCCTGGATATGTAAGCCTTGTTTGAGATCAGCCGAGAACACCCATTCCACAAGTTAGGTATGGCACGCAGCACTGGGATATATCCGGGAAGCCAGCAGCCTCTAGCTTGGCCTAGGCACAAAAGCTCGGAGAATGCTTCTGGCAAGGCCCAACAATAGTAGGTCTTTGGCAATCAGTAGTGTCCTTAGTACATATTTGGTGGTCGTGAATTGCCAAAAGTGTAATACAGCTGCTCAATTTTCAGTTGTTCGCGCCAAAGACCGCTTAGCAAGGCCGATAAGTGTTCCAATAAAAGCCTCAGTGATGTAGAACGGTGGAAAGGGCCTTTCACTATCGGCCGTGCGGATGAGGCCGATGAACATCTGCCTTATATGTTCTAGGATTTCAAGGTCTGCACCAAATGACCTGGCTGTGGGATACTGGATTAGATACCAAAATAGGTTTAGAACAGCTGTCAACAAAACCTGTGCGTGTATCCTGCGAGTGTCAAAACAAATACAGGGGGGACGAGGGAGGCCCGATACGTACCAGAAGGTATGCCAGGTGAATATGTGGGGGACTCTCCTGATGTACAAAAGGGTCGACCGCGCGGCCTCGTGATACAGCTCCACGCTTGACGGCACTGCAGACCAGCTGTGGGAGAACGACATACCACAGATACTACTGGCTTCGTGAACTCTTCCCAGGCAGAAATAATACTCCAAATGGAGAGTAACGCCGCGCGTGCTCAGGTCATGGAATAGAGCATCTGGAGCAGTCTCCATGGCGAACGCGTCCGGCCGGCAGTCGGCAGGGAAATTGGCCTTAAGATCACTCATCTCTTGATCAAGCTCACGGATATGCCTCAGCTGCGTGGCCTCCGGCTGTGCACGTCCGTGATTGGAGTAGAGGTAGTGGTAGATTCGAGCTTTGATCAAGGTCAAGCGGAGATCGGAGGGAAATATGAGCTTATCTGGTGATAATGGTTTTTTGAAAAACTGCTCGTTTGAGCTCGGTACATAATTTGGTGGCAGGTCCAAGTCGCAGTCGATATCGTGCATTAAGGGCGGCTCGCGCTTTCGGAGGGACATGTCCTTGTCGATTGCATAGCAGTGCCAGAACAGAGCGCGCAGGTGGTTATGCTTCTTGGGATCGGCCTCAGTCTCTCGTGGAGGCGTCACACGATTCCCACCGAGATTATAGACGATTCTTACAGCGATGGAGAGAAATCGTTCGGCTTTCTGTGATTGGCCGCTGGATAGGAAATAAAGAGTCTGGCATGGCAAACGATCCATATTAGAGGCACAAGATGATCTCTCAAATACGATAACAGCACATTATCCAACCTACCAGCAGAAGCAGAGCCTCCAGCGTCCTCATATTGGCCGTCTCCATCAACAGGTCCGGCAGCAGCATAAGGACGGCTTGTATATACGCATCCGAGTCGGTATAGACATTGGCGAACTCATGAGGGTGCAAACGCGCAATCAGGGCGGTAAAAGCGGTCAGACAAGCCCAATCGGATGCTCGAGACGATGCCTCGGTATATTCCAGAGTCCTCTTAGCAATAAGGGTTTGCAGAGCCTCAGGGTCGACTACGGAGAATATCGAGTAGAGGCCTTTAATTATAAAATAATCGATGCACCGCTGAACCAAGGCCACTTTAGGCCATTGGGGTATGACGTTTTGCTTCTGAGGGACTGTATAGAAGGGATTCAGGGACATAAATGTTTGTGTGGCTTCCTGGAGGAAACGCTGGAGGTCAAACATGGCACCAGTCTGGGAGTAGACAGCAGAATGGAAGGCATCCCGGGGCAGCGAGTTCGCCACTCCGGGCCAACAGTACTGTATGTGCCACTGAAACGCATCGATGGCCACATTGAGATCGAACGGACTTTGGAAATAGCTCCTGCCGGCGCAATCCCCAGTCCATGATGGCCTAAAAGCGATGGACGCTTCGAGAGCTCGGATGCGAGCCTTGGCATCGGCCAATTGCCTGGTGGTATTAGCGCCCCTTTATGGACTATCTGGAGGGAGAAGGATTACTACCCTTGGATGGTCTGCCGGGTCAAAGGCTGCCAGGAGCTGAAAATGCACCGCTCGCCTGCTAGATAGCATGTTTCGCAGGCGGGCTTTTGCCTGTCGCAGCGAATCTATCGACATCAATGAGCGTTTGGTCTTTCTACCGGCGGGGACATTCTGACCTTCTTTTGGTGGCAAAGATCGCAGGCCTTGCGTTGACGGTGTCCCCTGGGACCAGAATCATCCATGATACAGCAGGATACTTCTGGATGATCAGTCGATATTCAGCAATAGAAGTCGCATGAGTATTCCGATGGTTGGATTGATCAAATAAATTACAGCCCCCTACGGCAAAACTACATCTAGCGAACAGACAACCTTGAACCATGGGGATGTTACCAAGTTTACCATTCACCACGCACTATGTATTAGAATCAATCAAAGGGATTGGTTGATTCATAAGGTCCCACTGTACTTCTTAACCAATTATACGCTTGGTATATAATTGAAAGTCTCGGATTCTCAACTCGTCCAATTCCGAGCTCCTTTTTTGAATTATGCAGGATTGTACTGCCTTGGGTGACCCTACGAGGGTACTATACTCTATGTCTTTAAGAATAGCACTATATGCTGAAAGGGCTTATTTATTACGGTACTTTTAAAGACACTGTACAACCAGTATTGTTTCCTATGGGGAACAAAGTACATACCTAGGTAGTATGGATAGAGGTGGAAGGGAATAACAGGTGCCTGCAGCCTGAGAGCCGTGGCTTTATGTAAAACGCCAAGATTTCGGTAAGAAATCGCTGGCGATACATCTCACTCGTAAATTCCGGTATCGTAACAACCGCTGCCTAATATAATACAACACCTACAGTTATCAAATTGATCTGGTTGACCCGACATCACTGAAGATATACATATCGTGAGAGTAACTGAATCTCATATGTTAAATTTGAGCCTCTGATCTTGCAGACTTGCTTAGTTTGGAAGAAAGGGGCCATCCCATCTCAATACCATATCTGGAATGCAAACATTCAAATAAAATCTGAAACTGGCACAGCAATAGCACTGAATCACCTTGAGGTCAGCTTGACAGGATTCTATTTTGACCCTCTGCTTCCATGTCCATTGAAAACCTGATAATCCATATTAACAGCATCAACAATATATTCTTTTGAGAAAAGCTTCTAGCACACTTGTCAGTGGGATATTCTACTACGGTAAATATATCCATAAAGTTCATCACAGCGTCCCATCCACTTCTCTACCCAGTCTAAATCTAGCACTTCTACTGTCTCTTCTACCCTCTCAAAATCCACCTCCCAACATATACCAAACCAATCTAAATCCCCCAAACACCCAACGGATCCTCCCCACCCTGATCCACCCTCATCTTCTGCAAAGCCTTCACCCTTTTCACCAACGTCCCGACACAAATCGGCCCAAAAAGCGTGCACAGCGAAATCGCCCAAACAATTACCAGATACGTCTCCGACGAACCACCGCTAGAGCTAGTCCCGAAGATGCCCTTCGACTCAGCGAGCGAAGCAATGAGATACCCGACTTCGCCGCGGGAGACCATCGCCAGGCCCAGGATAGAAGCTGGATAGAGGGACTTGGGCTTTGGCGGGAGACTCGAGGTGGACTGTGAGTTCGGGGTTGCCTGTTGGGGTTGGGTTTGTGGTTCGCTTTCGACAGCTTCGTGCGCTTGGGTATCCAGTTGCATTGGTGTTGGCAGGTCGTGCGACTGGGTTTGGGGATCTTGTTGTTGTGTCTCTGGGGTCCCTTTCTTTTCCTTCTTGGACCCGGCTCTGGGACTTGCGCAGAACAGGACGACGCGGGAAAACGGTTTCTTGATAATCCGGAGGACACTTGAAACGGGTCGAGACGAGAACCGCACGAGCCAGAGGCCGGTGAGTAGCTTGCCGAATGTCATTAGGATAGCGTAGACGACGCCGCGCCAGACGATTTTGCCGTTGAACATTTCTGTTATGGGGATGGCGAAGCCGATGGATGCCTTCGGTCATTCGTGTTATTAGGTTTCATTGTTTGGTTGGTTGGGAGTGAATAGACTTACGAAGAACAGAGGGACCAGGATTCTGGTCACCGGTTCGTGGTAGTATTTTTCGTACACCAGACTGCCGGTGGGAGTCTCGTGTTTGGCACTGGGAGTCTGTTGGCGACTGGTCTGGTCATGGTGGTTGGAATCCTTCTCTTGCGGGGTGGAACCCTCCTCTTGAGAGGTATTCTCCGTGCCAGGCTCAGTGGCCGCGTCGCCAGTATCCACTGCCCCGGAGTTCTCCTTCAAGAAGTCATCCATCCAAGATGTCATCACGCCAGCCAGATACGCAGCAAAGAGACTCGACGTGCCCGCATAAGTAGCCCCAGCCACCATCCCCACCAGCAGACACGTACACACCAGGAAATAAAACTGAACTGACCCCGTAAACGCCGGGAACCTATGCTTATGGGCAAGAAGCAGCCTTAAAGCAGGCCTGATGCCCAACCGACACAACAGCAACACCCCAACCCCAAACCCGATGGAAACAAAAACTGGCCGTACAACAGTCACAGCACTGAACGACTCACTACTTCCACCGAGATTAGTGATAATCTGAACCAGCACCAGCCCCACCACATCATCTAGCATGGCTGCGCCGGTGATAACCGTCCCCAGTCGTGTCTTGATCAGGTCTGTGGTCGAGAGGATGGTGAACGTGGTTCCCAGACTGGTTGCGCTCAGAGCCGCTCCGGCGGAGAAGGCCTGGAGGGGCGTTGCGGCTACTAGCTCAGTGAGAATGAAGGAGAGGCCCATTGGAGCGCCGATGCCAGTGATGGCTACTGCGAGCGAAAGCAGCAGGTTCGCTTTCAGGGACGGGAGAGATGTTGAGAGCCCGCCTTCGTAAACCAGCATGATTAGACCGAGGTAGCCGAGCTGTTGGATCACGATTTCCATGTCGCGGGTGAGCCATTTTGCGCCGGGAGTGCCCCAGAGGATGCCGATAAAGAGCTGGCCAATTAGCCCGCAATAGACAAGTTTGTCGAGGCACACGTTGACTAGGTTGAGGACCAGGAGGAAACCTGCTTGGTTGAGGACTGTGCTGATGGCTGGCTCGTGGTAAGCGAAGGCTGTTTCGCTGATGGCCATGTTTTACTACTGGTTTCAGTCGTTGGTCGTTGAGTATAAATAAGTAATTATATAGTGGCGCAGATTGATACTGTCGGTCTAGCTATATAGGTAATACTAGTATTTTCTGGTGGTTTTGTACTAGTAATCTGTTGACGGTAACGGACTCCATCAGAATATATGGGTGCACTTTTGATAAATGGGGAGCTGGTTGATTGCAAGGTGAGGGTTGAAGTTGAGCTTGTGAGAGTTGTGTGAGGACTGAAGATGATAAGAGAACTGAGGCGGAAGACCATTTAGTTTAATAAATAGACGGTAAAAGGCGCTCGGTAGATAACGAGTCTCGGCATCCCGACGCCAAGCATTCTATGGCCTCTCAGATGAAAGTCGCTACCAAGCAAAGGTGGCTGTGTTATTCTTTTCCTTGGCCATCGTAGTCTTAAATGGGCCATAGAGAGTTAATTTCATAGTCAAACTTGGCTTGAAGATGCAATATGGGGGGACCTGAGAGAGATGTTCTATGTCAGTACCACACTCTATATGGCATGGAATCTGTAGGTTTTTAGGGCTAAGCGGAGACCTACCTTCCGCCCTGCTGCCTCAAGATTGGAGATCATCGATGAAAATGATCCTTCACAGTGCTCGTTCTAGGCAAGTACAAGGCTGTTGCAGTTAATCATAGCGTAATCATGTCCCATGATGTCAGCTGCCAGGATTGGCAGTGATTCAAGTTATTTGAGACTCACAAGTCCCATCAACGAGGTATCTTTCCTTGTCGAGTTGAACGCCTCTCTTGGTACCATTATATTGGCTGGCTTTTCAAAATGCGACGGTAGCTGGCCCAAGCGAACAAGCATATGACCCAATGGGAGCAATGTAATAGATTCCTATCATAGGGTGGAGTGATGTACTGTTCGAAAGCATATCTACCTACATTCTTTTCAAAGTGGGGAAGCAAACCTTTTCAAGAATCCTTTTTCTGGCTATACACTTGCATAAGTAACTCAGCTATATGATCATAATACTCAAGCTCGTATTCGGATAAAACAACAAAACAACAGATGTTGGGTACTAGGAACTGGGACTGGATTATACTTCCCGGCTTGCATATGAATAACTAATGCAATCGATGCAGTATAGTTAAGCAATGCCGATCAAACAATTCAGACTTCAGGCAATGCCACTACTGCCAGTCAGTATGCAGATCGCTGTAGTGAATACTACCTAGTAAACTTCTTCATGCATGTCGGGTTAACAGCCATCCTGAGGCACCGATTCCTTCATACATACATTGCGTCACCCGCCTCTGCCTAACAATAATTGGAGATTTAATATAATACAAACATCCAACAGAAACACTAACCACCACATACCAAGGTCCCTTCATACTCACCAAACCACGCAGTATCCATAAACCACTATCATCAATAAAAAACCATGTCCACCACACTCCCCACCGGCGCCAAAATCATCAACGGAGTTAAGACCTTCATTCCCCTAGGTATATAACTACCTACCTACATACATACCTACCTCCCCAGCATCCCAAACAATCAACAAAGCATACCATAAACCAAACAACTAACAACAAACCAACCAGAAAACAACCCCACAGTCCACACCCACCTAGCCACCGCCCTCTCCATCCAAACCCTTGCCTTCCACGACATCTTCACCCTCGACCCTCCCCCCACGGACGTGCCCCGTCCAATCAACGCCCTAATCTTCCTCGCCGCAGCGCCCATCTCGCCCGCGCCCGCTCAACCCTCCAATCCACCCTCCCCAAATACACCACCCCCAAGGAAACCGACCCAATCTGGATCCCCCAAACCATCGGCCACGCCTGCGGCCTCATGGCCTTCCTGCACTGCGTGCTGAATCTCGACGCCGGGGCGCATCTGGCTCGCGGGTCTGATTTGGCGAAGCTACGGGACGAACTGGTCTCCCTGGCGCCGGAGGATCGCGCGCGGGTGGTCTATGAGGCCTTGTTTCTAGAGGAGGCGCATATGGATGCGGCGCGCGGGGGCAGTTCGGGCGTGCCGGGGCCTGAGGAGCATAATGGGTTCCATTTTTTGGGGTTTGTGAAGGGCAAGGATGGGAGGGTTTGGGAGCTGAATGGGGGGATGCCGGGGCCCTTGGAAAGTGGGGTTCTTGGGGATGGGGAGGATTTGGTTTCGGAGGCTGGTTTGAGGCTGACGGTTGGGGATTTTCTGGAGGCTGCGAGGGAGGTGGAGGGTGGTGGGTATGGGGGTTTGGGGGTTTCTTTGGTTGGGTTGGTTGGGGTGTAGCATGTTGATGGATTCTAGGAGGGATGGTGATACTCTATGATGGGATATGGCGTAGGCTAGTGGTCTATCAGAAGATACGATATGAAGAATAGTATCAATGGAAAGAAGGTGTATAAATCAATCAATGGTATTCAACTACCTCAGTAGTAGACTAGACTATCATAGTACGATGTGTACAAAACACTACGAGGCGAAGATACAGGGATGTTCCAGATCGTCAATGGAGGTATGCCATCTCAGCAAAGCTGCAGGACACACATCTAGTACGTCACTGGTCGGAGAAATCTCACTCTCAATTTCAGCACTTCTTCGGCACAACCACAGCCATGAAAGGGCTAGATTGCAATTTGACATCCGTGCTAGTTGACCTGCCACTGTTCCCACACAAGTAATACTGTAAAGCAGAGAGGGTGAAAGGGAAGAAGATATTATCGTTATTAGTTAAACATATAGCGTCATGGCAAGAAGGGTAATATAAACAAGAGCCATGCGCGGTCATCTGCTGATAAAACAAAGGCGTCGTAAATCCGTAACTCACGCTTACAATTCTCCGGGAATCTTTTTGGCAGGGGGACGGAAGTTGCCGGTCCTCAGCTCTTGCCACGCAAGGTCGAAGCGGGCGCCCAGTAGCCACGCAGTTGTAAGCTAAGAACAGTCAGTCTCATTCATCACGGTTCATGTTGTCAAGAACATACCATTATGATTGATACGATCAGCACAATCACACCCATCAAAGCCAACATGAAGTACAGATCCTGGCGCGTTTCAGCTTCCAGTTTGGCCTTCTCTTTTTCAGCTTCCGACTTCTCGCCTTGCACCTTGAGCTTGGCTTGAGCGGCAGTCTGCTGGGGGAAGATCGTGTCCATGAACTTCTCAATCTGGGGAATCATCAGTATGGTAATGTGCCAGCATTCAAAGCAGTGATAGCATACCTTTCCACAAACAATGCTGATCTTGAGGAAGTTGGGATCCTTAGGAGTATTCTTCTGATGGATCCGGCGCGCATAGCGGCGGAAGGTATTACAGAGAACATGGAGGTTTTGGGTCGACTCCATCATCAACTGACAGGCGTCGCCCTTGGTGATCTTAATATTACGATCGAACATGACCGGGTTACGGAAGCAAAGCTCCAGGGTAGCAATGGCCATTGCCTGGGGAATGGCGCAAAAGTTGAAAACACTCTGCTCGCGGAGGCCAGCGAGGTAGAACAGACACTCTTCGACGTGCTCCAGAGCATTGAGAACCATTTCGGATCCACAGTTGAGAGCAGTCTCGCGGTTCTCGGGCTTGAATAGGTCCTCAAACTCGGTGACATACTTGGACCAAATTTCTTTGGGCCAGAAGTGTCGGTCATCATCGTGGTCTTCCCGTACATCACGAATGATGTTCGTCTTCTGCAAAAAGAGTCCCATGGATTTGTGGAGACGCGGACGTGTGAGCAATGCTGGGTTGCCGAATTCCGCCTCAACAAAGAGGCGAGTCAGTCCTTCACCCACCAAGCCGGCTACATAGTAGCAGTAGAGATCATACTCCTCGATTGTCTTGACGCTGGCATCCTCGAACTCCGCCTTTCGGCAGTAATCGGCCATACCGTTGCCCATCTTGTCAGTGATGTCCTTGACAATCTCCCGGTAAGCCGGCTTCATGTTCTTAAACTCGGCGATGACATTGTGAAACTGAACCAGCAGTTCACGGTCCTTCTCTTCGGGGCGGTTCCCATCGAACGTCCAGCCGTCCTGTTCCAGGTAGTCCTTAAACTCTCGCAGCATTGGCTCCTTGGTTTTTAGAGGAATCGACGTGTCGTCTTCGATGGTATCCAACCCGCGAAGAACGAGGTAGAATACGCATACTGGGAGCAACAGTTCGGGATGCAGCTCCTGGATCACCGCGCTGAAACTCCGACTTGTCAAGTCGAGGAACTTGAAGCAAGCCTTCTGTGTCTCTGTTTCATTCTTCACATTTCGTTCATGGACAGGGTTATGCCAGACTTTCCTATTGCAAGGAAAAAATGAACCTCTGTAAGCGTTGGCACACACACCTTCACAGAGGAAAACAATGCAAGTGGGGGTATGCAAACTTACCACTGAACGATGGCCCTCAACTGGCTGGGCCGGAGCATATAATAGAGGACTTCAGTCGCACGCATGATGGCGGTTGTACACCGTCACAGTACAGGGAAGAAATAATGGGGAGGCAGATTAAGCAATAGCAACCAAATTAAATAGATATGTTGTGTCAACAGGCAATAGTCATACAGAAAACCAGGGAAACAGGAATGTGGGGGAGTGAAGTTGCGGATTTGACAAGTTGTTATTGTACAGTAGTGGACAGATTGCGAATCGTCTCACAAACTAGAGAGGATTGACGGAAGATAACGGGGATAAATAGGGGGAAGGTAGGACAATTGAGTAAGAGGTGAGAGAGAGGTGAGAGTGAAGGGAAATTAGGAAAGTTTGCGGTAAAAAAAACAGGAGAGAAAAGAGGAGGTGAAGATGGAGGGAGTGATCGTGGAAAAGGAAGAAAAAAGAAGAGCAGCAGGGATTTTAAAATGAGAGGGACAAAAGACGTCTACGTTCGGTTGAGAGCTCTAGCTTGTGGCTAGAGCCTATTAGCGTGTCTAGGCGGAGAGGCTGGTGCGCATGACGCGGGATTACGACCAGTACGCCCTGATGAACAATATGAAGCGGTGTGGCTTACCATTTTCATGACAATACGGTGACAATACAGTCCCTTTTGGGGTTCGGACAAAAGTCACAGGCACCCCGCGCATGACGAAACTCCCGTCGGAAAGCATCGTCAGGCAGAAAAAAAAAGTTAGTTGTGTACCTATCAATACTAACTCCGACTGTTTTGCCTGTCTTCTTCGTCTTTTATTTTCGGATCCTCCCCTTTATCTCTTTTCGTATCCTTAGATATTACTGCTCTGTGGCCCTGGGGACAACCGGGGTATACGTCCTGTTGGGTTGAACTCCACCAAATACCGCATCATGGTCGCAGACACTACGTACTACGATGCCCTGGGGGTGCCTCCCACGGCAACCGAACTAGAGATTAAAAAGGCATACCGTAAACTTGCCATTGTCACTCACCCCGGTATGCTTCACTCGCTCACCTCATATATTTTTCTCTTGATCCTAATCACCCACAGACAAGAACCCCGGTGATGAGACTGCGCATGCGAGATTCCAGGCGGTACGCTAGTTCTTGCGTTGCTGTGAAGATCTTCTCCCACTAGCTCTTGATACTTACTATTCCCTCCAGATTGGAGAAGCCTACCAAGTCCTTAGCGACGAAGAACTGCGAAAGCGATATGATAAATTTGGCAAGGAGGATGCAGTCCCCGGTGGTGGTTTCGGTATGTGTGCTGCGTACCGCAGATAGCATATTCTTGGCTAACACCCGACTACAGAGGACCCGTCGGAGTTCTTCAGCATGATCTTTGGTGGCAACGCTTTTGTCGATCTTATCGGTGAAATCTCTCTGATGAAGGACCTCACCACTACGATGGATATCACCATGCAGGAGATGGAGGAGGATGAACTGGCTGCATCCGCGGAGGAGAAACTGAATATCCACGACAATGACACCAACGCGGCGGCTGGTGCCTCCGCAGAGGGTGATGCTGCTTCCGCTCCTGCTCCTACTGGCAGTGCAACTGCTGCGGATGCCCCCGCTTCTGAAGAGAAATTCGAGAAACCCGCCCCAGCGCCCAGCTCCGGCACAAGTACGCCTCGTCGTTACCTTGGTCAACAAGCCATCATGGACAGATCCGAGGAGGAGGCACGGATGGCGGCAGAGGGCCAGTCTGCGGAAGAAAAGGAACTACACAAGAAGAGCAAGAAGAAAGGCGGCTTGTCCCGGGAGCAGGAGGAGCGCTTGGCTGCGTACGAATTGGAGAGAAAGAAGGCCCGCGAGGAACGAGTCAACACATTAGCCACGAAGCTGGTGGACAAGATCAGCGTCTGGACCGAAACGGACAAGGGCGCCGATGTGACACGCGCATTTGAGGAGAAGATCCGTCTCGAGGTAGAGAATCTGAAGATGGAGTCGTTCGGTCTTGAAATCCTGCATGCGATCGGTCAGACATACATCCAAAAAGGTAGCTCATTCCTGAAGTCCCAGAAGTTCCTCGGTATCTCGGGCTTCTTCTCCCGGCTGAAGGACAAGGGTACCCTCGCCAAGGAGACATGGACCACCATCTCGACTGCCATTGATGCACAGATGACCATGGAAGAAATGGCCAAGCTGGAAGAGCGCGGTGGTGAAGACTGGACCGACGAGAAGAGAGCTGAGTACGAGAAGAAGGTCACTGGCAAGATCTTGGCGGCTGCTTGGCGGGGCAGCAAGTTCGAGATTCAGAGCGTGCTGCGCGAGGTGTGCGATCAAGTCCTGGGCGACAAGAAGATCAAGTTGGACAAGCGTGTCGAACGTGCTCATGCCCTGGTCATTGCGGGTAATATTTATCAAAAGGTAAGCATAATCAAGGCCTCCACGTTCTTAACATGCTGGGGTACTAACACAATGCAGGCGGAGCGTGACCCCGAAGAGGAAGGAGACTACATGGCGTTTGAGCAACTTATGGCCGATGCCATGACGAAGAAGGGCAAGGATGAGAAGGAGAAGAAGAAGAAAGAGAAGAAGTCCAAGCATGAACACGTCGAAGAATCCACCGCTTAGATACCTGTTCTCGATACATAATCGATTACCCCTTGTGTTTTGTGCATACCTTCTGTGCCTTCTCTCTTCTACCCTTCTTAATGTATCATTTTGTGCCTTCATGCCCTAGCGATGTCTGATTATTCATGGGTGGATTAGATTGTTGGATACCTGTTCTACCTCCAGTTGTAGCAATCCGCAGCCTCACCTATGGCTATGGTCAAACCCATATATCTCGGTTGTATGTAATAAAACTTCTTTCTCTCAAAGTGTCTGTGTGATATGTCACGAATGGTGCTTGCGTTTTTCTTGATGCTGCTATAGTTACGAGAGCGGAGTACTACCGTGAGCAATTAAATATATTTTAGCCCATCGACAGGAATGGATTAATCGAGCCTCTTTCTAACACTTGGTCTTTTACGATATTGAGATCAAATTTTAGCCATTATTCTTTCCGACAATGACAATTTCTCACTGCATCCGGGTACTTATTGCTTATGGTAGGTAGCCTAGCACGCATACTTGGGTAGGGTGCTCACATTCCTTCCGAGCCCTCTCAGGGTTTAGGTTATAATTGCGGGATTATTATGGAGACGACGCCAATACCACTTCCCCATGTTTCGGTTAGATTTAAATCTGAAAGTCGAAGATCGAACGTGTAACCCCGCAAGAATTGTGTCACTGCTATAGCAAAGGAGTTACAACAAAAGGGGGAATCGATGATCGCGTGAGCACATACCCCTTTCGGACCTTCGGCTCAGTCAAACGGGAAACAAAGCCCTATAACCAACTACTTATAATTTCTTCCCATGTCTTCCCGAAGAAACCATCCAATCGATCACGCTATGCATTATTCACTAATAGCAGGCTAATCCCCTCTAAGCATCCTTAGTCCAAAGCCATGCCCCCCTCACTGGCGGATTGCACCGATCCGCAGGCACGATGATACCTTGCGGAATGCCCGTAACGGAAGGCGCCGCGCAGATCTCTTCAGTATTTATGCTTTGACGGTTGGTTTTAAATAGCCCAGTTTCTTATCTGCCTGCCTTCACCGGCCATGAACAGGGAGCTTATACTATTTAAGACATACCACCACCCACCAATTTCGCGTCCCGACTTACGACTCCCGACCACCAACCGTTCGATTAAGTTTATAGCGGAGCACGAAGAGCGAAGCTATTATATTTAACTACAGATGCAGCAGATATTGCAATCAACCGCGGCCCTACTCGCCTTCCAGGTTGTAGTAGGCGATGCAGCACCCACCCCAAGCTCATCGGCCGCGGCATCTGGTCCGACTGGGACTACCTACCCGTCTGGGTTTGACATGTCCACCAGCTGGGGTAACCTTAGCCCTTACAAGGATCAGCCTGGGTTCGAGGTGCCGAACGGTGTCCCAAGGGGTTGTGAGCTCTCCCAAGTTCATGTCCTCCATAGACACGCACAGCGCTATCCCACGTCGTGGCAATTAGACGGTGGTGTAGTAGAAGATTTTGCCCAGAAGGTCAAGAATTACACCAAGGGCCATCACAACACCACGGTCGCCAAAGGAGCTTTATCGTTTTTGAATGAGTGGGAGTATGTACTCGGAGAGGACCTTCTGCTTGTCTCTGGTGCTGCGACGGAGGCGACATCCGGTGCAAATGTCTGGTCTAAGTACGGACGCGCACTTTATCGAGCCCCCGTCGGCGTCGCGTCTTACGATTCTTCTTTGAACGTCTATCCCAATGGGACCGAGCGACCGAAACCAGTCTTCAGGACGACAGACCAGGCCAGAATCTTGGAGAGCGCCCGCTGGTGGTTGAGTACGTTCGCCATTCATCGGTGTCATTGTGTCATGCTGACTTGTTAGGCGGTTTCTTTGGAAATACTGGTGCCAATAGCTCCTATTCTGAGTATGATCTGGTTATAACGCACGAGGGTACCGGGTTCAACAACACTCTGGCGTCCGACGGTTCCTGTCCCGGAGACTTGGAAGAAGGGTAAGCCCCTGACTTCGTTCATAGGATAATATGCGCTGACCATTTTAGCGATGATTCGGCAGAAAAGTTCATCCCGAATCTCACCAAAGATGCCCTGAAGAGGCTGTCGCATTTCCTTCCGCCCGATTTCAACCTCACAGCCTACGATGTGGTGGGTATGTTCAGTCTCTGTCCGTACGAAACTGCGGCGCTAGGCAGCTCGTCCTTCTGCTCGTTATTCACGGAGCAGGAATGGCGCGATTTTGAGTACTTCGTTGACCTTCAGTTCTACGGTAACTATGGGTTTGGCGCCCCAACTGGACGCGCTCAAGGCATCGGATACGTTCTGGAGCTGGCAGCCAGATTAGAGGGCAAGCGGATCGAGACCAGCGATACGAGCATCAACACTACTATCGACTCCGAGCCAGCCACGTTCCCTCTCAACCAGCCATTGTATATGGACATGTCCCATGACGATGTGATTGTCGGGGTTCTTGCCGCCTTGGGGATCAAGTACTTCAACTATGGATCAAAGGGCTTGCCTGACGATGTGGCCCACGCTGTCCCCCGTAACTTCAAGCTCAACGAGGTTACACCTTTCGGGGCACATCTAATTTCCGAAATCTGGACTTGTCCGGAAAAGACCAACTTCCATCAACTGGACGGTGCGCTATACAAGAACCCGGATCTTTCCTCGACATCCGGCACCACAGATCTTATTCGGTTCGTGTTGAACGGTTCTCCTATCTCACAAGAAGGCCTCGATGGATGTGAGAGCTCTATCAATGGCTTCTGTAGTGTGAAGGACTTCCTGAAAGGTGTTTCCAAGCTGAATGAAAAGGCCGAGTACCAATATGCTTGCTTTGGGAACTACACGGCTGGTCACCAGGTCGGTGATGGACGCCCTGAGTGATTTGTGGGTCATGATGATGTGCATTCTACATGAGTGACCATCTAATGTTAGCGAGTCATACCACTCATGCACATCGCAATCTGTATACATGTACAATGATATCACCATAAATAACTGTGCCTGCATTATAGTCAATGAGCTAGTCACATGGTCTTGCGATGTCGGATAAGAAGAAGAGAAGATTGTAGACTGGCGTTCTACCATCACAATCTCATAGTCGTCATAAAGATCTAATCCACCCCTAAAAGCATTGGAATTGCATAATAACGGTGTAGCTATATGATACGTCATCAATAGACTCGTCTCTGCTGCCTTACACCCTCGTAGATGCACCTTCATCCATCTCACCTGGCACTACAACGAGTACCTCCATTACCACAGCCATCAAATCTAAGCAAAAGATCACGGAAAAAGGCCATAACAATATACAAAACTCCAACGAGATCCAAGCCAGCATATAAACATCCAACATGTCCACCATCTCAGACAACACCACACACACAACATCCAACGAAACAAACTCACATACCACCTCATACTCTTACGCAAGGATGAACATGGCCACAGACAGCAGGGCCTCAAACACACATACCACCATAGACGACATGGAAAGCTTCTCCTCCATGCCCACCACCATCACAACAGCATCATCCCTAACATCCCTCTATACAACTTCAAACGACAGCTTTGTCTCCTCAGAAGACGAACACAGCAGCTCCTTGGCTACCACCACCGACTCCTGGACCGAATGTGATCTCGGCCCCATCCCGGAGTCCAACAGCACTATGTCGAACTGGCCTCTTTATATTCAACAGACACCGTGGGAGCTTGACTCCGACACTGAAAGCGAAGACGCAGTTCTCAACCCCCACTGCCCAACCATCACCTTGACTACCCTCACCCTGGCTACCCTAAGCAATACGCGTGTATCTCCGTGCAGGGACAACAGCGTGCCTCTCACCCTCGGCGAAAATCTGGTGATCAGGAGCCCTACTTTTACAATCAATGAGCTCATAACTGATCCGACGCCATGGACCCGCCTTACCCTCGTGACCAGGCTTCTTACTCGAGATATTCAAGCCCAAACCCAGGATACGCCCTGGACAAAACTCTCGACCGCGTATCCCCGAGTTGAAATGTGGGGTGGTAAGAAGGTCGGGTATACGACGCTCTGGCGCATCGATCGGGTGTTCCGAAACCATGGGATCTGTATCCGTGGGTTCGGGCTGCATGCGGGGTATCTTTCCGGCCTTGCGCGGCTGGTTTGGGTCCCTGTTATTCGGTTGGAGGCGGCGAAGGAGGTCCCTGTTGGGGCTTGGAGGGGCGCTGTCAGGGAGATTGGGTTGGCTGGGGGGTGGGATTTGGGGTTGGATGGGGAGGGCAAGGTGGAGGTTGATGTTGATGTTGATGTAGATTTTGGTCGTGCGTGGTTGGACATCGATGGTTTGACTGTTTCTTCTTCGTCTTCTCTTGAGGGTGGGGATAGGGAAGAGAGGGCCAGGGAGTGTTGGGTTTATGTTGGGGGTAGGGGTTAGGGATGTCTCTTTCTATGGGTTATGTTTCTAGGTGGATGTTTGTTATTGTGATGGAATTAGGGTTACGCTTGGGACATGGTCAGTTAGTTATGTATGCCTATGGCGAGATCATTGTTGAATTAGTGTCATTTATCTATAGCTTGAGAATAAGTCTGTTTATCGTGCCTTCATAATCCATATACTCGAACATGTCAAACTCATTATGCGTATGGGTATCTAGCAACGGTTACCAAGAGGGAAGCCGGCCATCTATCGCTTACAGAGATCAGAGGAAATCAGATTGAAAAGAAGAAAACGACGGGAGAAAGAATGATGGGTATCCCGCTCGGACAATGCCAGCATTGGCCACGATGCAAAACAGTTGCTGAGTGGAATGGGGAGAAGTCCATATCATGTAGACGTGCCGTCGAGTATGATGAACAAATGAAAAAGAAATACAAGATTGGTGTGGTGGTGGTGGCAAGTTTACAGTGCCCCGTCTAGGCTGTCTCTGTGGCAGCCTCCGTGGTCTCGTCAGCCTCCGAGTCTGGCTCCGAGTCTGGTAATTCTGGTAGGTAAGAGAGGTCCTGGGGATCACTCGCTCTCAATAGACCTCGACCACTTTCCCGGAGGTCGGCTATTTCCTCTGGTGCAAGGACTCGTCCTCCAAGGTGGATGTCATTTACATGCACGGAATACTCAAGGGCTTTCTTGGCTTCCTTTATTAGCTCCTCTGTCCAACCGAGGCAGCGTTTAAGACTCTGGTTCATTTTCTGGCTGTCGGCCAGAAGCTCTTGATGTTTAGCAAGGTCGATGAAAAACTTCTTCTCATCCTGGGCGCGATGTCGCGCATCATGCTCAGCCAAGGAATCAGGGCTAAGAACGCCCTCATCCATCACAGAATCCTCGTCACTTAACTCGGACAGTTCCTCGGCTGACTGAACCGAAGAGTGTTCATGTTCATCACTTTCGTCCGCTTCGGCCATGATACCCATAGAAGCCCCGGAAACGGAACGGCTGGATGGTGCTACCGACAGGCGACCCGCACGGCTGAGGCGTCGATATCTTCGCAGCTCCGCATTTTGCTTCCGCATCTCGCGTTCGAGCGTGCGATTGATTGCGAGGAGTGACGAGTTACTGATTTCGAGATCAAGGATCTTGCGCTCCGTGCGGGCACTAATAGCCACATCGTCCTTGACTTGCCCAGATTCAGACTTGGCCGGACTGTGTAGCGAAGAATCATGGGTCTCTACAGAGGCAGCGGATCCACTGCTGAAAACCCGTGGTCGGAGACCAAGTATTGGTTCGAAAGCAACAGCGCTAGCGTCAATTTTGGTGTCAGACGGGGATATGATGATAGGACTTGGCCGCAATGGTTCTCTTGGAGAGGTAGTACCATGTCCCGAGTCGACGCTGGATGATTTCATGTGTCTCGGGGCTGACGTAGTTGGTTTTGGAGAGAAGTGACTCATGGGTGGACTCGGCATATGCGAGACAATCTGGGGAGCAAAGTCAAATCGAGTCCCAGCCTGAGAGCCAAATTGTGGCCCAGGCTGTGGGCCGACTTGCGAGCCAACCTGCGAGCCGATTTGCGAACCGGCCTGAGAACCAACACCGTCCGACAGCCGGGGAGAGGAGGCATTTAGCCTGGGGGATGCCAATCGCGGGGACGCCGACGGGGGTTTAGAGCCAACAACAGAGCGAGTAAGCCCGGTCGAGCGTCGTTTGTACACTGATGCTGTGTTCAGCTCTTCCGGCGGGCCCTCTTGTTCTCCGTTGGCATATACAAATGTGGGGTGGGATGGCTTCACCGCTGGCTTTGGTCGGTTATCAACATCTGGATTCGATCGCGCATCGGCAGCGTGGAAAAACCTGGGTGAACTGGAGGGTGCTCCACAGACAGAATTCGGTCGTGAACGTTGAGCGTCCGTTGTCAAGGTTTTGGCCCTGGTGGTTATTGGAGGCTCAAGCTTTCCTCCTGTCCGTACAGGGCTCCGGTCTGTCCGCTTTCCTACTGTCGAGCCACTAGCTGATATGTAAGACGGAGAGTAGTGCCCAGTCGAGGGCGTGTTCGGGGTAGAAATCGGTCCATCACGTCTACTCGTGCGAGTACCGGATCGAGGGGTAACGTTGGCACTGAGATACACCGACTCGGAATCCGGCTTGGAGTTGGAGAGCGGGTGTTCGGAGGGGGTCAATCGCCGAGTACGATATCCCCCCGGATTGGCAAGTTTTGGGGTCAGAGGTGATTTAGTGGACCGGTTGAAAGCTGCACTGAGTGAGGGGGTGAAGGGTTTGGCAACGGGGCCGTTGGTGGTTTGTTTATCGGAGGCCATAGTTGCGGGACTCGAGGGGCGGAAAGGAGGGCGACTCATGACATTGCGGCACTCCACGACGATCTGCAAGCATGGTGGCACCAGCCAGAAACAGGAGAATGAGCTGGCTGGGTCACGAACAGGGCAGACGGAGGGGCGATATAATTAGTGAGAGGAGAGCATCAACATCGGAGGATCGGGGAATGGGGGGAGGAAGGGAGTGGTGAGTTTGGAGGTGATTTTTGTTGTGCCAACACCGCAACGGTTCAGATGTTGAAGTGATGCCGAACTAAACCAAATCTAACGACACTAACCTAAACATGTCGCCGAATCCGGTTTAGTTTTGTTTTTCACCGCAAAGTTGACTCTCCGTTACTCTCTGGACGACATTCCCAGGCATCGAAATATTCCCCAGAAACTTGTCAAATTGATAAGACGGAAAAGAAATAAAGTGAAACATTCTGGGGAATTCCTCAGGTGCAAATTGGCATTGGAATGCTAGATCGATCGGGACTCGAATGTTTACAGATCTCCCTTTCGGCGTCACCCTCATGCATGCTGATGCACCGGCCCATCCCGATCGACATTGGCAGATGGCAAGGGACAAATGTCCACCGTTTCGACCCGTTAGAATCTTGCATACTCCGTGTATCTTTTGTAAGTACAAAGCTCTAAATATATATATTATTATGTCGTATTTCTCTGTTTCGCCTTCGTTGTGGCAAGATTCTATATACATAATATTTCCCGCTCCACATCAACAAAAATTGCCAAAAGTGTGGGATCGGCGGCCAGCGTGTCAGGGGCGAGCCATGCAAGGAAGATATACGACTAGCATGCCAGGCTTTAGATGAGATCTATATTGAAAGGCTTTCCTCGTCTTGGCCGGCAAAATGTCTTATAGGGAACTCCTTTTTCCAACTGTATCACAGCCAAAACAGCAAGATGGAAGATGGGGTCCGACCTACGCACTCAATAGTCAGACAGTTTTCTCCAAGAAATCTCGGAAACGAGGTAATTCTTTGGATGGATGGACCCCACAGAGTGCCTATTGCTCTGCAAAAGATCATGATGTTGCTCAGGTTACGAATATTCGATCACTATCCCCGGGAGATAACCGGGTCATGTGAAGAACAGTCGCTTTTGGCGCGGGTCAACAGGCTCCTGCGATGTGCCCTTCCTCTTCCGCAATTTTGGTGGTACAGGCTCGGCATCTTGTGAAGCCCCTTGGATGGCTTCCTTAATAGTTTGTTTTGAGAGACAGTAGTCGACATGTTCATTGAATACTCGGTCATCCGCAACCTGTGGTTTTGAGCAAACTGGGCAATCCCAATACATAGGCTGTGATTCAGACGGGGTGGCAGGGCCCTTTTCAGACTGATCCACTTCGTTGGGCTCAGATACTTCCTGACTGAGCTTCTCCAGGTCGTTCATGTCCTCCTGTATCTCCTGGCGGGCAGCTCTCTCAAATGCTTCTTCCGCACTGATCTCTTGTTCAGCTGCATCCGAAGTCGACTCAACGGTAGGTTTGGAACGCGTGGCCCAACCGAAGAAATCAATTCCCCCTTTCTTGGTGCTTACCAAATTGGTGCAGCGAAGGCCGAGAAGACGCAATTTCATGTTAGGGATCTCCTTCTCGAGCTTTTCTAGCATTGGGAGGGAGAACATGTAGAGATCGTTAGCCAGAAATACTGCTCGGGGTGGTTGGCACTGTCGGGAGAGAACCTCGAATGTAGCCAACTTCACTTTAAGCACCAACGTGCGGCCCTTGAATTCAGTCCGAGTCAGGTCTTTCTCCAGCTCCTGGGCGATCGCCCAGAGCTTTTCTCTGAGAGCCTCCTTCCCGCCCATTTCATTGAACGTGCTCTCGGTGCCGACACTTTTTCGCTCATAGTTTTCCGCCGGCTGAATCTTTGTTCTCCCTAGCCCAAGGTAGCATTGGGCCAGAAAATGGAATGCCTTTTCGCCGAACAGCTTGGCCAGGAGTGCGCGTTGAGGATGTATATCGCCGCAGGTTTTAATTCCAACTGCTTCCAGCTCACGTTCAAAGACTCGCCCTACACCATTGACTTTTCGCACAGGAAGATCCTTCATGAACTCCAGAATGGCATCTCTATCGTTAGGGACGCGAAACTGGCCGTTTGGTTTGTTGCGGTTCGATGCGATCTTGGCGATCTTTGCATTCGCTGCGATGCCAGCAGACACGGAGATTTTCGTTTGTTCCAATACCTCCGCTCGCATGCGATTAACAGCATCTTCCGGATCGATTTGATTTTCCGTGCAATAGGCGGTTATATTCAAGTATGCCTCGTCTATGCTAGCACTTTCAAAGAGCGGGTCGTATTGGGCAAAGATAGCGCGAATCTCCTGCGCCTTTGCACTGTACTTCTGGTGGTTTATGGGGAGGCAGATGAGCTGCGGACACAATTTCACGGCTACGAATGAAGCCATCCCACTTCGGCAGCCGAACTTTCGAGCCTCGTAATTACAGGTAGTTAGGACTCCTCTGCCCACCGCAAAAGGGACGGTTTTCAATTCCGGCCGGTCCAGTTCTTCGACTGCAGCAAAGAAAGCATCGCAGTCAACGTGGACGATATATTGCGACAAGTCTCGACTGAGTTCCAGTTCATCTAGAAGCTGATCCGCCCTCCGTAGGTCGTGAGACAGATCTAGATTTTCAAGACGGCTCTTCTCTTTTAAGATGCGCTCAATCTTTTCCGTTAGGATCCGGTCGCGGTTTTGCTCATGATTAAAGAACTTCGATCCTTTAGATGCGTTGTATATTATTTCCGATACCTTGATTTTCACTTAGTGGTCGTCTAAGCGATACATGAGGCCAGTGTAGTTCTCACCTTCTGCTGGTCTACCGCATCCTGACCTGCCTTGGTCAAGGAGGGACCTAATAACTGGTATTTCAATGTCGCATATTCATCGGACACTTCCTTTGAAGTGGATGGTACCTCGTCAGTAGGCGTCTCGCCCGGTGATTCCATATTTCATGCATTGATCCGCCGCGATAATTCATACAAAATCCGGGGGACGCGATCTTTCCCAAGCAGGCAGCATTGAGACGCCTGATCACGTGGGTTCGTGTTGCGGGCGATGCCTTCACGTGCGCTCGATGTCGTTTGCGCCCCGACGGAAGCAACAAGAGCATCGTATTTAAACTCGCCGCCCCTCATGTGGATTCTGGATTCGGAGGGAGACCTCTTAGATGGTGTGTGATGCCCAGATGGCCGTAACCTTCAGTTATGTGCTAACAATATTCGAGGAAAGCGCGTCTGGTTGCGACCAGGGCAGAAGTATCTCTTTGGTCGGATAAGGCAAGATGGCGGTACTTTCCCCCTTCTCCCCATCCCACATGTTAGTTGTACTAATTGACTTTTTCTTAGTCCAACATGCTATACAGCATAGCTCAATATCGCGAAAGCACATGGTGATCGAAGTCGCTCCTGTTAAAGATGGCGATGGGGTACAATGCTCCTTTTTGCTGATGTATTTTTCGTCGCTGACTTGCATAGTCTCGAATCGACGCAAAGTCGGAAATTACAGTGACTGATCAGAATTCCAAATGTGGAACAGCAGTGGATGGAAACCAAATACGGGGCGAGAGTGTCAGTCTAACCGGTGACGAGCACACGATCAAGTTGGGAAGATACCAACATTTCCTGCGGTGAGTGTATCCTCGGAAACCGCCATACACTAGCTAACGGGGAGTTTGGATTAGGATCAAATGGCAGCCGACCGTGCTTACATTTTCCTTCTCGTCTAAAGAACTCAAGGCGAAAGATCCTCTAGCCCATGTCCGTTCACGTCTCGAATATCTAGATATCAAAACGATCATCCCCTATATCGTTGACGAAACTACACATGTTGTACAGAGCAAACGTAACACGGCAAAAGGCTTACAGGCACTAGTGAATGGGAAATATATTGTTGCGAACTCATACGTCGACGCACTTGTCTACGCTGCGACACCGAGTGACCTAGAAAACTTGGAGTCATTGTCCCCGTTAGAGGTCGACTTCGATTCTGCATGGCCAGATCCAACTGAACATCTTCCACCTCCCGGCAAAGAAATTGTCCATCGACCAGCCGAGGCATTCGCACCAATCCCGGATCGTGTTAACCTGTTTGAAGGTTATACGTTTGTCTTTGGCGATGCCGCACAATTCGACAATCTGCATGATCCCATCGCCAATGGGCACGGGAAGGCTTTGCTGTATCATGTTGAGAATGGGGTAACTACAGCAGACGAGATCGCACAGTTTATGAGGAATACGGCCGGCGATACAGGTCTAGGTAGCCAAAGAGATGGCCCCGGAGGGGTTGTCCTTGTTCGGTTTCGTGCCAAGGGAGGTTACGAGGAGTGGTCGATCAATCTGAGCAATCAAGTTGCACTTCAAACCAACCAGCGCGTGATTGAACAGAGCGAATTTCTCGACGCAATCTTAGCGAACGATGCCTCATCCCTCTGCCGTACACTACCATCACCCGAGCCCACATCACGCCAGGATGTAAGTGCGACGCCAGCATCACAGCCTGCCTCGACACCCGCGGAGTACATTCAAATTGCCGATTCCCAAGCAGTTGGGGAATACAGTAAGCCGACAAAGTCGAAGTCAAAAGGCCCGCGCGTGCGCAGCTTTGTCAGTAAAATGAAAACTTTTGATGATGGGTTCGACATCAATGCCATCCCTGCGCATCCTCCGGATGACGAGGATGTTGTTGTGGATTCGTTACCGGCTATGGATATGGAGTCTTCGTCTGGGCAACAGACGCAACCACGCAGCAATCTACAGGAGGAGGAAGACGTACTTTCTCAACTTCTTCCTGGGGCAAATGCGATGAAACGCCGTCGCGCTGGGACTGTTCAGAGATCCATGGATGATTCAACATCCCGCCCCAAGGGGGAAGTGCATCAACCCAAACGTCAGAAGTTAGACGTGCTCGAGGCAGCTCGGCAACATCGAGAGGCTGAAGATGCCCAACGTCAACGCCGAGAGGAAGAAGAAGCTGAACTCCAGAACTCTCTGAAAGATATTGAGAATTTAAGAGGACTTGCTATTGTGGAAGAGATGGAAATGCCAACCCGAAAGATTGCTGACGAGGACAGCCGGTGGGATGAGCGATGGAATGGACGGAAGAATTTCAAAAAGTTTCGCAAGAAAGGTGATCGCAATCGATCTCGCCATAGGATACAGACAGTTATTGTGCCTCTTGAAGAAGTGACACGCAAGGCCTTCGGCATTGGTGAGCACTACTGGGTTAGCAGTCGCAAATCTGCCGACAATAGTCAGGCGGAAAGCCGCCGGGAGCCTCCTGCAAGTGAGCAAGATACTGGAGAGTCGCGATCTCAATCTCTTGCTCGGACTGAGTCAGAGCCGGCAGCCCCTCGCAGCCAGAAACGGCCTCGAGAGGAGCGCGACTCTGACAGTGATGATGAATTTCGCTTTCGCTTCCGCCGCAGGAGGTAGGGGTAAGTTTTGGTGGCCGCAACACGAGTCGTGATGGAGCCCGTATCCCGTAACATGGTCGAACATGGCTAGCTTCACTTACACCTCACTTAGTCACCGCTCTTTTCTTGTGCTAAGACCGCAGTAGTACAAAGATGTAACTCCAGATGCGCATCTCTCAATCTCAAACATCATTGCTAATGTTGTGCGGTGATACTGTTCTCTTCCATTTTGTTTTCTTATCTGTGTTCTCGGAGGAAAACGAATCAGAAAGGATACCCCATATCCGCGAAGTTCGATCATATTCTAAGCAGCTTTCTCCAAGCTACGCGATAGATCACAACAGGTACCAATGAACCTGGAAACATTTTTATATTAGCCTCGATGGTCAAGAGTAATTGCCCTGCCTAGGAAAGGCTTGACTTTCAGCGATACTATCATTTTTCTTCCGTACACCAAGGGACCTGACAGTCATCCTCCTGCCCAATTTGCCGCGTCGTCGGCGACTCTCTGCAATCTCCTCCAATCTCAGCACCATCCCAACAGCTTTGTGGTCTTCGGTGAGTTTGGGACGTCGCTTTGCAAAATACCGTGCATATTTGAACAGTGAATAATAGCAACTAGCAACATTTGTAAGACCTAAGAAGATCTTGTAAGGCATCTGCAATGCGTCAGGAATGCTGCGTGAAGTATAGCGCAGCAGGGAACATTTTATGACCTACATAGTACCAGAGAACAATATTCCATTCGATCCGCTCGTCCTTCAGACGTAGATGAAATTCGTTGAAGATGATGGCATTGAACAAGTACAAAGCCACAGTTGCCCCCAAGAGGGCACCACAAAACACGGGGCGGACGATAAACCCAATGGGGAGTATAAATGGCGTGAGCACATACAGCAGGCTCTCATAGACCTGCTCAATACTCCAGGTTAGCCACTGGAATCTGCAGGACCTTGCTTTATGAGCAGGCAGCTACATACCTCTTGAATGACGAAGAGCTTCGCGCCCAGTTCCCACTTGCCCAACTTCCAAGACCCAAAAAGGTACAATAGATTATACCATATCCCATTCGCCACAAAGAAGTTCCACCGCAGAAATCTCTGCTTGAAAACGGTCATTTCGCCGAAGCCGCCTCTCCTTGAGTTCCGATCAGCGAAGACGAGAGCAGCCGGGGTGGTAGTCTCGACGAAGACAGCACTGCACATTTGAATTCTTCCTCCGAGCCGCCGGCAACTGTTTCCCATGAACCAATCCTCACTAATGGAGAAACCTGGATGGTGCTGGAGAGTCTCCTTCAAGAACGCCCTTTGCCATAAGGATATAGCTCCATGGGGGAAGGTCGCGCTGCCAATGCGTCCTGCGAAACTGCGCTGTAAGCCGGCTAGTTTGTATTCAAGGTCTTGGGCCTGTTGACAATATGATCCCGGGAGAGAGTTGGGGCCAACGGATTTGATTGTGTACCCAATGCAACGGACTTTCTCGGTCAATCGGGAGACGACCACAGGAAAATGCGGGGGCAGGATGCAATCATCATCGATGAGCAGGACGTGGCGAAAGGATTTGACTGCATGACAGCCGATAAAGATGGCGACTATTTTGGAGCCAACGGGACACCAGATATGGTTGACGCCGTAGACTTTGCATACCTCCTCGGTATTGTCTAATGGAGTGGGAGAGTTACCATTGGCAATCACATAGACCTGCGAGGCTGGAAAGATTTTCAAGGCAGCTTCCAGAGTCCGACCAACAATGGAACCAGACTTATAGCATGGGATCAGAAGAGCCGTGTCTGGGGCAGTTGGGCCAATATGACGTGTTTGGTAATATTCTGGCCCAGGGAAGTCGTTCTCAAAGGTGAGAAGAAGCGGCGCAAAGGAATAGCTGTGATGAGAAACCTTCATGAGTCGCACGGCCACATTACTGAAATCGAGGAATCCCGCCGTCTGATCAAGAGAGAGGCAACTTACAAGACAAGCAGAAAGATAAAGATTGCCCAGCCACCGGCGAATACGAACTTACGCTGCATCACCCAATAGAGCCAGTATACAGCACCTTTCCACAATGGCCATCCAACAAGAACGAAATATATAAAAGCACCACCGGTGGTATATGCCGAATATTCGATCAACAGCCGGATCCAGTACCTGCGTTGGTGTTTAATTTTGACAAGGTTTGCCCTGTTGTACACGCTCCTCACACTGTCACCCAGTGTCTTCCTAGCGACGTTACCGAGTCGCGGTAAGGGCAAAGGTGACCGGCTGTTTTGTTCTATCAGTGACACTTGTACACTGCTGTCTGAAAAGGTATCCTGTTCCAGAAATTGCGGCGGATGTATCGAATCACTCCAGTTAAGGTGAAGGCTAGAGGTTATCCCTCGAATATGTGGAGGAACACTTGGACCTTGGAGTTGATGCAACTGCCTCCTTCCCTCCTCCAAAACCGACGAGTAACTTGCTGCGCGCTGTGGAGCTTCCCGTCTGTCCGCTACCTTAGTTGCCCAGCTTATTGTACGGTGGTTCCTCTTCTGAATGTGAATCTCGTCAGTTTGGTTGCTAGGATGGTCGGAAGGAGAAATCGCCCTATGTGTCCCTTCAACCGCGTTTTCCCTTCTTGATCCTGTATTCAAAAGAGATTGTGGAATGAATATATCTTCGACAATTGGCCCGTCATTAACGGAAGACATATTGCGAGTACTGCATTTGGTCGAGACTCACAAGCCGCATCTTGCCGTACAAATATAGCCTGTGCTTGGATGCACGGGGCCAGGAATACTGGTCCGGGTCATCCATCACTCATGCTCGCTTGTACGCTTCATAAATTTAGGTTCTTATTTAGGTTCTTACGGTTTTTACTGCTCCATAAGCATCTGAAGCACAGCCAACTCCCCGTCACCCTCCATGCATGTGATACAAGCATACCTGCATTGGCTAATCGGCATCCCAGACTAACAACAATGGAGTCGATCGATTACCGTGGAAAGAACACAGCCATGATCATTCTCATTAGCCGGACATAATTCCCGGAGTATGTCTCACACCCCGGCCCTTCAGATTTACAGGAACAATAAATCCATTGCACTCTCGTCCATGCATAATATGAGCTAGGAAAGATCTGCATTTTTAGCCCTCACTAAGCTCGTGGGTTTGCAATGTCATCGTCACGGATATCCAATGGCAATCGAAGCAAAACCTGGAAATTGTACAGTAGCATACCACAGCAAGTATGTTGCTGGCGCTCAGGCCCTTCCACTTCCTCGGGCCAGCCTTCTCGAGGAGACAACGATAGTCCGTATCTGTTCGCACGCGATGCTTACCGTTATGTCAACAACGCCGGAATCCGTCTGAGGCTGCTATGGTGATCTTGGTGCATTCGGTTGATGGCTGTGGAGAGGGAGAGACACGAACATACGGAGTAGAAGGGCGTGGGGCCATCCGCAGGTTCGGGGATTTCTTCCTTGAGACATGAGTGAATCCTTTTGAGGCCTCCTGCCTTAATGGTGGTCTTTTACCTGATTTACTTTCGATGTGTAGTGGGATATGCATGCATGACTCGACGCGTCTCAGAAACAAACCATACGAGCCAAGCCGCATCTTAAATCCGGGCCGCCCCTGAAGCAGCCACAGCGGGACGATCTGAGCTTCCCTGAAGTATACGCAGGTGACGAGGCAAGCCAAACTTCGCCTAAGCATTTGTAAACGCTAGTTCATTCTATCTAACGTGTTGCTGTGGTAGAGTTCTGAATGGAAGTTTAGATGAGATTGAGTTTCCTGATATCGCTACCGGCGACGAGTTTGCATGAACTTCAATGACGAACGCCCATGTCAACATTGCGGGTTGAGACAAGATGGCTTCATCTAGTTAGCTGCCCGTAGTAAAGATCGCCCAATCTCCCCATTCTCCTCCCCAGAGAGCCCCTGCGGCTGTAACATCTCGCTCTTGCATGCCAGTTTACAGGCAACTACCACCGTCGCTGTATTCCAAATCTGCCGGACCATGCTCTGGCCTCTTTCTCTTCTTGTACATGTCTTACCGAACTGCGAGGTTTTGTTTACTGAAGGTGGTGTTTACTGAAGGTGGTGGCTCATCAACTCAGACATTCCAGAGAGCATCCGTTCCTTGCATATGTGCTCTCTCTTCTGAGCAAAGCTCACATCGTAGGGGGGACAACAAAATCCGATCCACAGAAAAGATTGGTTGATCGACTGCTCTCTCTAATGATTATCAGAGAACATTCCTTCCGGGTGTTTTTCCAACACTCATCCTGGGTCGATTAGCCCTATCATTGCGGATCGTTAGAAAAGTCGCCACCTAACAAGGTGGATATCCGAACTCATGCGGAAGGATTCTATATCCTGACGATGGAGGCCAGTAGTAATATACTTTAGTACAGGAAGAAGCACTAAGTACTAAACTTTGTTGAATTCTTGGTGCGTCTGTGGAAAAGGACTCCGGGTATGAGTAGCCTATATGAGTATCAGATCAAAGTGACAATGCCCGAGCCGAAGGAAGCAATGTTGCTAGGGCTGCGCTTATTTTATCCAACTTAATCTTTGGTAGATTGGGTTTTGTTAGTTTAAACTTACCCTGTAAGCGATTACTGATGTTTATCAAAGTAATTGTTTATTTATTTTTATTTTTTTTATTATTATGGGATCGAGATGGCTGTTGAGGGTCATCTTTCCCAGCGCGTAGACAGGGCAAGGGAGCAGAAGGAGTGTTGAAAACATTCGCATAACTGACTAATGTTCAACTTGGGTTGTTCAGTGCCCTAGCTAGGACTGGGGTGTGCACCCTGTCAATTGGGTGGCGTAAATGAAGTAAGGAGAATGTGGGATTAAGGAGGGAGCTGATTGAGACCTTGAACCATACCCCATCCATCCCTTCTAATAGTCTTTTCCGGGGGTAAGGGATTTGTAATTCCACTCAATCATTGGGCTTTTGGTCCACTACCACTTCCTGCAAGGCCATTAGTCAGTTGAGCAACTTGGACATCTTAAAGCAGCTATATTGTCAAGATCTTGTTCGGTGTCTGTGGTGGATGAGGGATAGTGTACCGTTTTGCAGGGATATATATATGATCATGCTCTGCATCTGTGTCCAGGAGTAACAAGGGGAGGAAACATTGTCTTTACTCCAACTCTGAAAGGAGCAGCATGTGCACTAACTAGAGTCGACCGTATGTGGTGGGTATACCACGCAAGACATCGTCTCGCATGTTCTCCTTCCAAGGACCCAAGAGGGTTCTTTTCGTCTATCCATAAATATAGATATTCACCGCTCATCGCGACACGGGACGAGGCATGTCAAACATCTGACATTCAAAAAAGAAAAGAAGAAAAAAAAAGTATTTCCGATACGGGGAATCGAACCCCGAGCTGCTGTGTGAGAGACAGCGATGTTAGCCATTACACCATATCGGATAATTGTTGAGTAGTGGTTTCCTTTTGTGTTACATAGCCCTAAAATAAAAAAAGTCACCAGTCAGTGCGGGCTCCACAACGGCTTATCCGAAAAAGAACGAGTCATTCATTCTGGCGCGTGACCTTTGCCGAGCCCCAATACAGTTTAGCCTCCATTCTTGTCCCAGGTTGGCAAAAGCTTCTACTCCCGTCCCTCTTTACGGAGTTTGTGCACGGCATCCTATACATTACTCCGCTTATACGCTTCTGCATGCATATACCCGTATCCCAAATCGCTTCGGGTATTGGATTCTGGGGTAAACAGAATCCCATGGATGAGTTCTTCGTCCCTTTTCATCCACCGGTGTGCGGTATAGTCGAGCTTTTAAAGCACCGAGATCAACGGCAGCTCGGCAAGGTTCCGACCTGCAGTGGGGTTAAGCGCTCTCCCCGGCATCGGGTTGACGTTTTACTCAACGAAATCCCGGATAAGCGATCCCGGGATATTCGCTTACCAAGGAAGTTCTTAACTTCTTGCTCAACCCTGGGCTGCGCTCTCGCCCCCCGCCAAGCCGAAGCTACCCCTGTAGACTGCCCCATGCGGTGAAGACGGTTGTTCACCGGGAAAGCCTCATCATGGTGGATGAATGAATGAATTAGGGACTCTAGTAGCTCGGAATAGTCGCCTCCAATACTGTGACGGCTGACCTCCCACCCTGACGAAGACGTCGTCTAAGGCCACTTATTGGGAAAAATTGTGGGAAAATGTGGATCAGCTAGAAGGCCACACGTCGCTTCTATGTAGAGAATATAAGTGTGATCGCTGCGGCTGAACATTTCTTCGCGGCTAAGGGGCAAAACAGTCTGGGGAAAACGCTTCCCCGGCCCACGCTCCCACTCACCGGGGGACCGTGGCAAAGCAAATTTTTGCATGGAGACAGCGTCCATTGTAGTTCTCGACGTATCGCAGCTCATACATTCAACCCCATGGCGCCCCAGTCTGGGGCGGACCTCGACGGAACTTGTGGAGATAGTTCGAGTGAAGAGGCCATCCATGTCTATTTAGTTTTTAAGATGCTCTCCAGGCCCGGACCTAGCTCTCACTTTTGTTGTGCTCAAAACCACCTACCCCTTGTTCCTCCCAGGTCGCCCCGTGTCGAAGAATCCTCTCTGTCACCTTCCCTACTTCAATTGATTCTTCGACCCCCCGTCCATCGCGATGGGCATTCTTAACGTCGTTGAGGACCGTCCGACTCCTAAGAATGTCTACAACTGGCGAGTGTACCTGCTGGCAGCCATTGCATCATGTGGTTCCAACATGATTGGTTATACTAGTGCCTTTATCGGTACGACCATCACACTGGACTCCTTCCGAAAGGAATTCGGCTTGGACAAGATGTCATCTGCGAAGGTGGACTTGATCAGCGAGAATATTGTCTCGCTATTCATTGCTGGTGCCTTCTTTGGGGCCCTCTTCACCTACCCTATTGGTCATTTTCTGGGACGCAAATGGAGCTTGGTGATCGCTTCAGCTATCTTTACGTTAGGAGCCGGTCTGCAGCTAGGTGCCAACACGCCCGCGGACTGGGAATTATGTATGCTGGACGAGTCCTGAATGGACTCGGCACCGGTGTCGCCTCGAACATTGTCCCGATCTATCTCTCGGAACTGGCCCCTCCGGCCATTCGTGGGCGACTTGTCGGTCTCTATGAGCTCGGCTGGCAGATTGGCGGTATGGTGGGATTTTGGATCAACGTGAGTAGTCTGGCGCCTTTTATTGACACTCTGCCTTCCCCCTCCCTTTCGCTCGAAATCATGGACACAATGCTGACTTTAAACCGCCATAGTACGGTGTCCAAAAAATATGGAACCTGGCCACACGCAATGGTTGATCCCATTTGCCATCCAGCTGGTTCCGTCTGGGCTGCTTTTTGTTGGTGCCTTATGGACCAAGGAATCCCCTCGGTGGCTCTTCCTCAAGGACCGCCGACAGGAAGCAATGGCAAATCTCTGCTGGATCCGTCAGTTGAGTGAGACCGATATTTATATCACCGAGGAGGTGGCAGCTATCGACCAAGCGCTTGAAGAGCAGGCAACAACCATTGGTATTGGATTCTGGAAGCCCTTCCAGTCCGTTGGCACACGACCCCGGATCATGTGGCGGCTTTTCCTGGGCTGTATGTTGTTCTTCTGGCAGAATGGATCCGGGATCAACGCGATCAACTACTACAGTCCTACCATCTTCACAAGTATCGGTGTCAATAGCGATACGATTGGAATCACCACGGGTTTGTTTGGCGTGGTGAAAGCCGTCATGACATTCGTGTGGCTTCTGTTCCTGGTCGACCAGTTAGGAAGACGGAAGCTTCTCCTGATCGGTGCCATCACGGGCTCGATCTGTATGTGGATTATTGGTGCCTACATCTGCATTGTCGAGCCTGAGAAAAACCCCACCGATCACTTGAACAGCGGTGGTATTGCAGCCATCTTCTTCTTTTACATGTGGACGGCGGTCTACACGCCGACATGGAACGGCACGCCGTGGGTTATTAACTCGGTAAGTTTTTCTCGCCCCATTGACTCAAAGTACCGTCACTGACCAACGATGAATAGGAATTCTTCGATCCCAACATCCGGTCGCTGGCCCAGGCCGCCACAACTGCCAGCAACTGGCTCTTCAACTTCCTTGTTTCCCGCTTTACGGAGCAAATGTTCGACGCGATGGGCTATGGAGTGTACTTCTTCTTCGCCTCCTTGTCCTTCCTGGCCTTCTTCTTTACCTTCTTCCTCATTCCCGAGACCAGCGGTATCCCACTGGAGGTTGTGGACCGCCTGTTCGAGGTGAAGCCGGTCTGGCGGGCAAACGAGAAGGTCAAGGCTCAGATGAAGGAGGAGGAAGAGCGATTCCGGTTCGAGATCAAGGAGGGAAACTTTGATAAGAGCGAGGAGGAACATGTGGAAGATGGCAATGAGACGAGGTCATAGATTTCACGATAGACGGCTTATAGACTTGTATATAGAACTTGCGTCGGTGTTCTGATTTAGGAGCTTGTATATTTGCTGTTATCTTAATTTTTTTGTCTGTGTTTTTGCAGTGTTGTGGGTCCTTAGAATTGCTATCTTGAGCGGTTTCTGATATGGAAATAGAGAAGCACATTGAGGCCCTCGGCCCTCGAAAGTATGCGCTCCCGGTATGATGAAGTCTCAGATGATGTAGGTGAATATGTTTTCTTAAAGGTACCGGTATGATCGTCTATATGAGGACTAGGGCAAGACCATGTTCTCCTTCGGAACGTACTCCGTATGGGGACCAGATATATATCTTGGTGGGTCCTCGTACGTTATCAACACTTGAAGAAGCTTATTTATTCGATGAGGGGGCCAGTCGAACCTTATCCCCTTACTCTATATCGATAAGCATGATTCGATACTTGGTTTCCTTTTTTCTTCTGGAAAGATGACTCCAGATGGATATTCAATCTTTGTTTCGGCTCGGCGAGGGATGTAAATAATCGTGAATAATATGAAGCCCTTGATTGCTTCATCGGGTATGGATAGAAATTTCCAGCGGAGAGGAAGTCTATTATTAAGAAAGATTACGAGTACGATACGCTACGATCGATGCTCAGCATCACCAGGTCACCTGGACTGACGCTCTCATTGGTTGATGAGGATCGCCATGGAAATCAGCCTCGTTAAACCCAAAATAGATGAGCAGTCGACTGATAAGGTCGAACCCGACTGGGATATGAACGCAAATTGGTACGAAACAGGGAAATCCTGATCATCTTGAATTTGTATCTCGTCGGCCATCAACATGGCATGATCATCATGAAACTGGAATAACATCCGATTAGTCCCTTTTCTGGTGGACTGGTGGTTTTTTGGCAAACTTAAAGTGGTATTGGCAGGATCACAATACGGTAACTTTTCAATCCTCTGTCGGTCTCAATAATTGTCCACCTGAACAGATGAAAACCAAAATCAGTAAAAAAAACCTGAAAAAAAAAAATAAAAAAAAAAAAAAAGCAACGCCAAACAATCAGAAGTTAAATTACATTGCCAATAAATTTACTTCGAATCCCCTGTTGTTTCATTTCTTACGCGATCCCCCGTTGCTTTTCTCCTCTCCTCTCGTCGTCGTCGTCCTCTTCTTCTATTTCTATTTTACTAAGTATCATTCATTCACTGGGGAAGTAACCAAAAAGCGAAATTAATTCCCTTCCTTCCTCTTCTCCGCCCCCGGATGCGATCGTTTTGATTGACGGCGGTTCGCTCATCTTCTGGTCTCCACTTCCACATTATTGATGAATTATCCTTATCTTTTTTATACACCATCGTCATCACATCACCTGGGGAGCTGCCTAACGGCCTGATTTACATCAATCTTTTGACTTCTTCTCCCCCTCTTTCCTGCGCGACGACTGATAGTTAGACACGCATCTTTCCCCTCGCCTGTCCGTCATGGACCACGCTGGCTGCGCTTAAACTTGGTCGGGTCGTCATTCGCTTGCAGTCCAAGCCATCCATCCATATTTGAACCCATTTATCGCATACCGAATCTCTAACCACACTCGATTTCACCACTGGTTGCTTCTCTGACTTGCAGTATGTCTCAGCCTCTCTTTTTCTGCTTGGTTTTTTTTGTTCCCTT